AGCAAACACCCGCCCCCAAGGTCACTTGGCAATTGCTACTACCATGACCGCGGCAGTGGCATCGAAAACAGCGCCCTTTCATGGCCGGGCAGCTAGAAGGCTGGTGGTGAGCAACCAAGCGGTCTCTGCTGCAGCTGCAGGCCCAGCAGTAGGTGCTCATCCATAGCAGAGCCGTGTTAAAGTCGTCTGACTGAATTGGCGCCGATGGTACCATCAACTGCGCTCGTTTGGCCCGCGTCTGGCCCTCGTGTGATACTGGCGCCCCATGTGCTTCACGGCTTGGATGGCGCGCTGTGATGGTCGGTTGCATCATGGAGCAGACGGTGCAAGCCGGCGCTCCTGTGGCCGCACAAATGTGGCCCTCACCATCCAGCAGCCAACCAAGCTCAAAGGTCAGGCAGCGCTTCATGCTTGCAAATGGCTGCAGATCTTCCGAAATCGCTGTGCCTGGTGGTATCCATAGCGTGGCCTCGCCACCCCGTCGGTCGCGGCCAGCCCGGCCAAAGGCCTGCGACAAGGTGTAGCCGTTGTAGCCGCTGCCAAACCAGATCACCTTCCGAACGTTGGGCATGTCCAAGCCCGCGCCCAAGCAGCTTATGGCCACCAAGACCAGACTCTGCGTGCCGCTCCTCCACTGCTCAAGAGCGGCTCGTGTGTCTTCGGCTGACATGTCAGCATCCACGGCCAGCGACTGCTCGTGACCCATCGTGCGCGCCAACAGAGTCGACAATGCCTCAACCTGCTTCTTCGTGTCACAAAAAGTCAGCATGCGATCCACGCGGCCCTCTTGCTCCAACAGGTCGTAGTGGCGTTCCACAAACATCTCAAATGCCTTTGTTGTTCCTTGTTGCACCGCTAGCCAAAGATCGGTTCGCATGGTTGGCATACGAAAGGTCTGGTACGAAGCGTCCTCTGTGCAATCCAGCTGTTGGAGCAGAGCCCGCTCATCTTTGGGGCAAAGCGTGCCAGTGAGGCCCACACACTTGACAGATGGGTCTTGGCGAAGATGATCCAGCCGGCCTGGGCAGCGAACAAGACCGTCTCGATAGCTGGTGTCCTCGAGCATTGTGTGAACCTCGTCCATCACCAGCATGGCCAGACGCTTCTGCTGCACGAGTGTTTGCACCCACCTCATCCCATGGCCAACCAAAAAGTCAACCGTCATGACAATCACTTGAACGTTGACTTGCATGTCACGGCCATCATTCTTAGCCCACTGCGATACAATGTCAGCCTGCTCGAAGCGGCGGCACAAGTCTCTGGCAAGCTCACGAAGCGGCACTACCCACACCACGACCCTGCGTGGCTGGAGGTGAGCGAGTGTACACAGCGTCTTGCCCATGCCAGTCGGGGCCACGGCCAACAGCCAGCCGTCCTGGGCTTCGTGCCGAGTCACAGCCTGTGCCAATCGATACTGATCCCAGTCGCGAAATGTTGTCTTCCATGCTTGCCACACACATTGAGCCAGCCAAATCTGATCCTCATACTCTTCTTGTTGCGTTTGGTCATTGTGCTGGCTTGGCTCTTGCTGCAAGGCCGTCGACGCAGCCTCTTCCACGGCTCGCGGCACGGCAACTGGCATGGACGATCCGGCTGCCTCGGCTTCGTCTAGATCCAACGCGGCAATAATTTCGTCAATGTCGTCCTCAGCATCAAGGCAGACTTCAACCTCGGGACCTGTTTGCGTGCCCACGGTCGCTTGCACCTGTGTGCTGGCGTTCCTGACTCGAGACGACTGGACAACCACCTGCTTACAAACCACTTGTTGCACGCAGGTACGCTCATCCACGGCCTCGGCTTGGATCTGATCCTCTACATCTACCAGCTTCATGAGCTTGTGCCATTCTTCAGACACAAACTGGTGGCCATACTGTGCTTCACTGGACACAAACTTGTGATCGAGCTGCGTGCGGCCATAGACGTTGCGTGCCGTCCGACCTGCATGCTGGCTTTGAGAGTGAGCCACATTCAACGCCCCAGTGAAGGCTCGGGCGTATGATGCAGCACCAGTGTATGCAGCCAAGCCATGCTCATGTGCCGCCATGCGCTGACAGTGATGTTGGTTCCAAGAAACCGCTTGGCCACGGCCTGGATGGCTACATAGACTTGGCCTGGACGGCGCTCTGCAGTCTGGATTGCGGCTATTCCGCTGCTGACGACGCAGTCTCACCCACGCTTGTGGCCAGTCACGTCTAAATTCAACTTGGTGACGATGTAAAGGAGGCATGAGAGCGCTTTGTACCTTCGCAAGTTTGTGCAGCACAGATACCACACAAGTTGACTTGCAAAGACACCAAGGACCTTGACAACCAGAGACGCATCTACTGCATTCAATTGCCACAATACCCAAGCTCAACTGGATACGATCCCTCGCAAAACAAGACCACCGCTCAACGCCCTCATCACCAGCTCGCGCAGCGCCGCATCCATCACTATCGAGACACTATTGCTGATATTCGATGTAAAGACGAAGCGGTTTCTCGCTCTTTTTCTGTGCTTGTTGGACTGCTCTGCTTCAGACGTTTGGCAAAGCCCCCAGCCATTGACTTTATTTTTTTTTTGCATAGCAATCGACAAGCCACCCTAAAGCGCCACAAATTTTAATTTGTAAAAAAGTATCAAGGTGTAGCTATAGAGGCGGACGTTAGGGCGTCCACGCGGTCACCAAGCGTTTGTAGGTCTTGGATATTGAACAATTGAGGATCCAAGCGCCAGCCGACGCTACAGAGAACAGCAGCAGCGCACCGCCAGCGTTTGACCTGCTCCGCATGAATCAAGTCTCGGACTGGTGCCACGTTGAAATCCAATGAGGACAAGACAATGCGGACCATGACATGTGAATCAAGTTCGCACCTTCGGAATTCGAAGTTCGGTAGGAGCAAGGGTTACGGGTTGCGCCCAATAGTTGTTTAATTTGCTACAAAGTGAAGCCGATCCATCGGTAAGCAAGCTTGCCTCTGCAAGCAGAAACAAAATTAAAAAACGCCCACCTCCGGCTCGATGTGATCCCTACTTAGAAGCAGTTCCAAGGGTCGTGCACCCATCTGCCACAGCAAGTCATCAGGTGGCAATCGTGGGTGCAGCAGAAAAGCGGACAAGTACGGCATCGCGGTGAAAAGCTTACACGATCTCTCGCATCCGGGTCGGCACCGTGTCGCAAGAGTTGGTCGATACCTTTCCAGCTGGCAGACAAGACAGCGCACGTGACATGAAGCGGCGCTTGGCCGTGCTATGTTTAATCATTGTTCGTAAACATGAGGCCCAGTTCTTTTTTTTTTTTGTTTGGGTGAGTGGGTGGGGTTGAGCGTCGAGGGGTCGGGGTGAAACCAAAGAAAAGGCTACTGAAAGCCGCTCGATGTGCGAGGGAGGCAAGAGCGCGATGGCAAGAGATGGGGTAGCGTCCAGGATGAAGTCACAACATCGGAAAAGAGTAGCAGGCTGTAGATACAGCGGAACAGAGCGGGGCGCAGGGAGCACCGACAAAGCGCGGACGCAAAACAGGGAAGAAAAGGGATGGCGGGAAGGAAGAAAAGGAGCAAGGGGCAGAACGCATGCGCACGGTGGGCAGGGAGTAGAAGAGAGAGCGACGGGGGCAAAGGCGACGAGCAGCGGGAGCAGGAGCAGCAGTCAGAGGGGAGGGGGGAAGAGGGAGTGGTAGTGTACTGACGCTGTCCTTGGCTTTAGCATCAACACCGTGCTTCAGCAGCATCTCCACCACATTGACATGACCGTTACAGCAGGCATGGTGCAGTGGTGTCCAGCCATGCTGTGGGATGATGCATCAGCATGAGGTACAGGTACAGCATCGACACGTGGTACAGGTGTAACCATCATAAGGGGGGTCAGGGGAGGGAGAGAGAGGTACTGTACTGACGATGTTCTTGACTTCAGCATCAACACCGTGCTTCAACAGCATCTCCACCACCTTGTCATGACCCTTATAGCAGGCATTTTGCAGTGGAGTATTGTGAAACTGTGGGATGATGCATAGATGCAGCATATGCAGCATACGTCCATGTTATACCACAACGTCACCCCATCCAGTGACATATTCAAACCAATATCACACAATATCATACCAAACAGCAGACGTACCCCACCATGTTGGTACTGGGCAGCATCTCGTATACGTTGTTGGTCCCAACTGGTCACCAGCTGCAGCGCCTCTTGTGGATCTGATGACCAACACGCATCGTGCAGCTGCTTTCCATCATCACCCATGATAACGGTAACTCTCTATCACCATCCGCTTCAAACCGATTTCTTGCTTCGCTATCCGCCATCAACCCTCATGAGCCGCCAAGGACGATTCGTCGGACAACCCAAAATTCGGACTGGGTTCCAAAACGACAGCCAGTCAGCGGAGCGGGCCCTGCTCTTCCACCTGATGCGCCAAGCGACCCACCTTTGGCCAACAGTTCTCGGTGACAGTTGCGAGGACAGGTGTACGCGGTTGCCCAAGCGCACGCTGACGACTGCGAGGCGAGATCAGTGGCACTCACACGACGGGTAAGAAAAACGTGGCAGCGATGCGCTCAACCAGACGTTCTGGTAGCGCCACAAGAGGAAAGTCCCGTACCAAGCACAAACGATCAAGCATCACACACAAAGCAAGACACGCCAAGCAACCCCCCGACGCCGATGTCGTTACCGATGCCAAAGAGAGGCAAGCAGAAGAGGCAAGCAGAAGAGTTGACGATGAAGGAAATGCAAGAACACAACACACGTTCCAATTTGTTCTAAAATCGTCATACAAGCAAATTGCGATGTGCTTTCAAAGCGCCCGCAAAATTGGGGCTTAGTGCCTCTTTGCCAGCCGTCGCAGCTTGTCAACATTCAAAGCCTGTTGGCGACCCGCTTTAACGTTGCCGACCAGAAATATCTCCCCAACCAAAAGCGAGTGACCGTTTTCAACGGCGAGCGAGCCAACTTGATTTCTTGTCACCCGGCTATGGTTCTGAACGTGGGATTCCAATCTCATACGTAATAAAACCATTCGAATTAAGGTTGTAAAAGAGAAGGCGCCATCATTCAGTATGAACAAGCACAGATTTGACAGACCAAGTGAATAATAATATTGCCAAAGCGAGCATGCCTTGCGAGGCGCAGGCTTGTGGCAACGCAAAAGCAAACAAAAAGCAACGGCACAAGTACCAAACCACATTCGATCAGCACTACGAAAGCCATTGAGCAGTGTATTAGCGAGCAAAAGAGGCCAGGGGTGATTAAAAAGCAAAATTAATGTAGGAACAGACACGAGTCATTCATTCAAGGCGATCAAAAGTCAGTTTCCTGCTCGCGCTTGGCGCGGCGTTGGGAGCGAAGGGCCATTCGGAGGGCGCGATCGTTGTCAGCCCGGGATCGACCATAGTTTTGCGGATCTGCAGTCTGCGCGCGGTCCCGCCCAGCCTTTTCACGATTTCGCCGCTCACGTTCACGCTCGCGTTCAGCACGTCGCCCACGGCGCTTGGGCTCGGGAGCTACATCGGCGGATGCCGTGTGGGCCCGCTCGCGATAGATGGCCTCTTCGGAAGGATCTTCAGCGAGCAGATCCTGGTAGGTGTGGCTCAAGCCTCGCGTGGGCACGGGAGTTCGCGGGGGTTGCGTCAGGGGAGGCGGCTTGGACAGACCAGTGCGAATTGAGCGAGAAAGAGCTGCATTGACACGCGACGGCCGACTCAAAGACAGCTTGGCCGACGGCTCGGCTGGTGTGGCAACTGCGGCCGGTGCCCCCGTGCTAATGCTCAGCTTGTGTAAAGCCGCTTGGAGCTTGCGCCGGGCCCCCAAGGACGTGATGCCCATGGCCGTCATATCTGTTTCCGTCATAGACAAGAGCGTCGGCCCGTCCACATCGTTGGCTTCAAAGGCGGCGCGATAAGCCTTCAAGACGTCCTCCTGCTCGTCCAGCCAACCCAAAACGTGTTCTGTTGTCCATTGATTGACGGCCAGCGTGTGACGCTGCAAGCCCGCCTTGACGTGGCCCACGCTGATGCCATGGCTAAGGGAGGGGCGACGAAGGGGCGGTGGTGTGCGAGGTTCGACGGCAGTCGCCGCGGTGGCAGTTTCCGTCAGAAGACGCGTCCGAGAAGCCACGTTGGCGCCACGAAGGTGACGTGGAATATAGTCAGTCAAAGCTCGCTCCTCCAAAATTGGCTCAACATATGATGCCGGAACCAGGCCTTCGCGGGTAGAGGTGGCGCGAACCTGCAGCCAGTCGTTCGACTTGAATTCAAGCAGCAAAAACTCATCGCCGGCACGGAAGGACAGCTGCTGCTTGTCCTCGGTATTGTAATTGGCAATGGCACGATAGAAGACGGCGCGGTGCTTGAGGTATACCAGAGGAGCCAGACCTTGCTCGCCGTTGGCGCGCCGAACCACACCCCAATCCTCCTTTTGCTCGACCAGCGTTACGGCCTCGTCCTCCATCAGGGACAGGGTGCGTCCAGAGGGGTCGCTATACGTGCTGGTGGTGACCATAACGAGGGGTGCCACGTCTGCCGAGGAGACAGTGGGCGTTCCCAGAAGAGCTTGCACCGAGGCTCGCTTGTCACTGGCTGCCTCCAGAGGCTCCAGGAAATTTCGCGGCACGATGCCGCGTTTGCGCTGGTTGTTGATGACCTCGGACCAGTCGCCATTGATGTGGTGGATAAGCTCGACCACCTCGTTGGGCTTGAGGGGAAGATAGCCCTTTTGGCTGTCTTCAGGATTGTATGCAGCGCGCGCCTTGAGTTGCTCTTTGGAGGCGGCCTTGTCACGGACAAAGGTCGCGGGCACAAAGCCCTTAATGCCGCTGGCCGCCTTCTTCACTTCGTACCAGTCGCGCGTAAGTCGACGAAGAAGGATGACCGTCTCGCCGACGCTCAAACTTAGCTTGTTCTGGCCACCGTTGAAGCGCGCAATGGCTTCAAGCGTATAATTGGTACCAATCGCGGCATCATAGGCATCCACCAACCCAAAAGGTACCTCCACCACTCGTCCATCAATTTCAACAAGCACGCGAGATTCGCTGAGGCGTTGCACACGGCGACAGACTTGCCCAGAGTGCACCTCCAGCTTCAGTTCAGCGCTGCGGAAGGCATCGTTGAACACAAGTTGATCGGATTCAGAGACGTCCTGCAAAAAGTTCTTGGGTGCCAGGCCAGTGGCACCGGTAAACTTGGCCACCATCAACCAGTCACGGCCACGTTCACTGTCGACCTGAACCTCATCCCCGACGGCCAGTTTGATTTGGTTCCCCACGCCTTCAAAGTCGGAGATGGCTACCATCTCGATCTTTTTTGGCGGCAAGGCAGAAGAAAGGCCATTGGTTGGATCGCCGGCATTTGTCGCGACCCTCGCATCTCTCGCTGCGACCGGCAATGGCGATGCAGGGGACAGCGCCGAAACCGGAGACAGGATGGGCTGCATCTTGCCATTCATCATAGACAGAGGGCGCACGTAGGTGGATGGCACCAAGCCAACCTGGCCAGACCGCAAGCGCACCTCAAACCAGTCACTCGAAACCTCTTGCAGGAACGTCATGCGATCGCCCTGGCTGAACGCCAGTTTGTCACGCTTGTCGCCAGCATAATTAGCCAATGCCACGTACTCGTCGCGCCCGCGCTGACGTGTGCCCGTGTCATTGCTGCTGTCGTCGGTCGTTGCCACCACTGCAAGGTACACACCCCAGATGAGTCAAGGTTGGCATGAGGAGATTGTGCTTCACAAACGGCATGCATGTAACCACGATAAACACAATTAATAAAGACAAAACAGAAACCAAAGCCAGGTACAAATCAACACCACAAGACCAACAACACACGCCACTGCGCCCATGAAGCGCCAACGTACTGGCTTGTAGACCCTTGTGGGTGGCGGCACGAAGATTCTTGACCTGCGCGCGGACGTCCTTCTTGAGTCGGTTGCCGCCTGACTTGCGTACAAACTCGAGTTTGCTGTCATCGATCAAGGCAGCACCCGTGACGCCCTGCTCCAGAGCAGCATCGGCGGCCGGTCGATAGTTGGGACCCAAACTGTTGAGCCAGTCAGCCACATGGCGCGGCTTCCATGTCAGCGGAGGCTTGGTGCGATACTCGGTCTGGTCGTTGCGCGGAAGACTCATCAAGGGCGCCTTGCGGCTGCCCTCGCTCGGCGCACTGGAGCCCCGGCCGTCCATGCCCTCTGCATCAAATTCGGCAAAAGTGGACTGCATACCCGATGCAAACATGGAATGCTTGCCAACGCTCTGCCGCTTGAGCTTTTCATCATAATCATGGGAGCCCAGGCCGCCCTCAGCCGCCACCAGTGCGGCTGACTCGAGCTGAAGCAAGTAGTCATCGGCTGACAGAGCCGGTCCTTCGTTAGCAGCAGGTCGCAAAGTCGGTTCAGCAGTGGATGCTTCATCCGATGAATATGCTTCAATCTCGTCAAGGTCTTCGTGATCGCTGAACTCGAGTCCGAGCTCCTTGCGCAGGTGATCCTTGCGAGTCAGCGTGCGAGCGACGTGGCCCGCCATCGCCACGCCCAGGCGGCGGCGAAGCTCTTCGTGGCGACCGTGCTGAAGCATTGTGAGCCTGTGTAACGAAAAAGTCGGACAAAATTAGGGCCAGAGGTGTGAATGGGTGCGCCGGACATTGGCGAGCTTGAAAGAGCGGATGCACGATCAAAATGAGCCCCTCTGCTTCTCCGCTTCTCCCCCCTTCCTCTTTCCAAACCACCGGCTTCCAGGCACGGGCGCACTTACAGCTCCTCGGCCGCCTGGCGCGCTCCCTCGCGGGCCTGTCGCTTTTTGCGCTGCCGGCCCGCTCGGCGCCGACCAACTTCGTCGGCCATTTCCAGCTCCATCTCTTCCTCACGTTCCATCTCCTCCTTACGTTGGATCTCCATGAGACGCCATGCCGGTACCGAATCCTGCACACAATCGAGCAAGCACAGCCAGAGTGGTTGAGCACAGCAAACACACACCAACCAAGCGAGAGAAGCGAAACAACCCCGTGCTGCCCAGCGCAAAACACGCAACACGCACCAGGCCGCCCTCGTCGGCATCAATTTGACTGGGGTGGATACCAAAGCCGGGGGGCACGGCGCGCTCAGCGCGCAAGAGGCTCTTGACAAGTACCACGTCTTCGCGGTCATCTTCTTCCAGAAGCTGCTCAGGCTTGCCTCCGTGGTCCGCGGCATACTCGCTCAAAACCTTGTAGGCGAATTCTGCCTGCTCTGGATGTTGCACCATAGCACAACGGTCCTTGCGAAGGCGACGAATAATCTCGTTGACGTTGCAGCGGCCGCGCTCCTGCAGCAAGCGCATGCCAATATCGATCGTGATGAAGGTACCAGTTCGACCGACACCCGCAGAGCAATGAACGATCCATGGCCGCTCTGGATCATCGCTCCACTCGCGCACGGCCTGCAGCATTTTGACGACATTGCCAGTTTCCGAGGGCACGCCGTGGTCGGGCCAGGAGTTGAACCAGTAGTGCATGACAATTCGCTCCGTGTCGCTCTTGTCGTGCTTGATGCGCAGCTTGGTTGCGATGTAACCGTTTGAACGAACGCCTGCCAAGACGGCTACGTTGACAAAGCCGGCTTGCATATCCCCAAGGCCCTCGCGTTCGTTAAAGAGGACCGTGGGCCAATAGCGGGCACACTTTTCACGTCCCTTTTCTTGCAGACCAGTCACCATCACAATGGAGTTGGCGTTTGTTTCCCAGACCATGCGCCAAAAGTCGGGCGTCGTGGTGGGCGTGGGTCCCTGGGTTGCAATGTACGTGCCATGGGCACCGTCGTAGCCGTGCACATAGTTGGCATTGATGTAGGTGGTAATGTCATCGTCGTTGAGCTTGCTCAGGCGCACGCGCGTACGAGGATTGGGCAAGATGTTGTTGTAACGATTCAGATTGGAGGTGCCGGGCGGAATGCGCTTCTTGGACACGAGCGCCATGTCAATAGCGTTGTATTCTTCGGCAGAGAATGGTTCCACCACCATGTTGGGCTGGCTCCAAGACGATCGGCGCGAACTGCCAGCACCCGACTTGCTCTTGGCACTGGCCAGCTTGGCGCGCCGGAGGCGATCAGCCTCGATACGAGCGCGGCGCTCCTCTTCCTCTCGTGAATGGCGAGCTGCTGCTTCCTGAGCACGGCGAACCTGCTCTTCCTGCCGCCGCTCCTCGAGAAGCTGCTTCCGGCGCTCTTCTTCGTGCAACAAGCGTTTGCGCTCGGCTTCCTCGCGCTGGGCTCGCGCGGCTTCCTCTCGTCGACGCCGCTCAGCCTCCTCGCGTTGTCGCCGAATTCGCTCATCTCGCTCAAGGCGCAGGCGCTTCAGGTTTCGGCGCGCCCAAAAGCCCTTGGCAGCTCGCTGAAGGCTCACGGCCGCTTCACCATGCTTTTCCAATTGTGCAGCCAGGCGATCGGTCACAAAGTACTTGAGAAAGATTTTGGTCTTGCCCAGTTCCCAGACGGAGGAGCGACTAGCGCCCTGGCTGTTCTGTTCAATGCCTGCCTGCGTCAAAATCTTGACACAGGCCAGCTGGGCCTTGCTCTCTTCCAAAAGCGCGCCCGGACGGTAGCCGAGCACCTGGTACCGCCGCACAAACTCGTCAAAGTCAAGGCGGACAGGAAAGCCTTCCTTGCGAATCTCCACCGTCTGCATGACACCCGTGTACTGGAGCTGGCGCAGGACAAATTCTTCCTCAAAGCGGTCGCCAATCTGGCGCGGATTGGGCTTGATACAGCGCACAAAGTGGGGTTGAGCCTGCATCATCTTGGACATGAGGTCAGTCAGAGACTGACGAAAGTGCGTGCTGACGGTCGGTGCTTTCTTGGCCTTGCCGTGTTGGGGAGCGGCCTGCGGAGTCAAAGCCGCGCGACTGCGGCGGCGACGCGACTTGTGCGTGGCCGTGCGCCGCATGGAGGCACTAATGAGGCTTTCGTCCCCTCCGCGCGATCGAAGGCTGGGTTCAGCAGCGCCGGCCATGTTCGACTCCATGCTGGCTTTGCGTCGCAGTTGGTTGCGAAACTTGTCCGGGGTTAGCGAGCGGAGGACCGTGGTCGCGTTGCTGCGGTCGATATCAGCTTGCCAGTTGGAGCCCATGATGCCCGTGGCGCCGACTTCGTGGCGAAAGAACATGCGGACCAGCGGAATGCCGCATTCCAGGAGCATACGTTCGACTCCCTCAGACAGGCGGTCACGATTCTTTTCTAAAAAGCCTGGCAGGTTGTAGTGCACCTGGCTGGCAAAGTGGTTGATGCTAAACTCCAGGGTGTGACTGGACTTTGGCGCGCCGTAGTACTTGTTGGCGTTGGCAAAGTTGGTATGGAGCTTGTTGGCCAGGGATTCATCAGTGGCTTGCGGGAAGTAGGACTCTTCATCCAATATCGCAAAGAGACCGTGCGGACGCTGAAGAAACATGTCCAGCAGGGGCTTGTTGTTCTCAAAGGTGATGTTGGCAACGTTGACACCTTCGCTCTTGAGCTCTTCGAGCTCCCAAGCAAAAACGTTCTGATTAAAGTAGTACTGCAGCTGTTCGTTGGCGACGCTGCAAAACAGCGAAGAGGGTGGGGGAAAGCAAGGGGTGAGCCGGGGCTGCCACCAAATCAAAACCGAGAAGGCAGGGGCCGCAAGAGGCACCAAGGGGATGAAGCAGGGCGGCGCCGAGACCAGGGGCCCCAACTCGAAAGACTTACTTGATGCACAATTGCTCAAAGCTGTTGAGCCGAAAATTTTCAAAGCCGAAAATGTCCAGGACGCCCACCTCTCGCATTTCTTCCTCGAGGTCTGGAAGCAGCGTGTTGTTGATGCGGGTGACGATCCAGGCAAACAAACGACCATAAATGGCCTTGGCGGCGGCGTCGCGGTTGTCCTCCGCCTGGAAAGGCTTGAGCGGCTTGACCATTTCCTCGCCGCGTAAAACAGTGACGCGTTTGGTGAGGGCACGGGAGAGCACGTCCAGCTCAACGCCTAGGAGGGAGGAGCAATGCTTGAGCGCGGCGAGCCCAAAGACTTCGGCCGATTCTGCACCGTCCACAACGCCGAAGGAAACGTTGCCAAGGTGCAGGATCAGTGCCAGGATGAGCTTCACTTCCACGAGCTCGGCACCGGAGAAGCCGAGGGCCAGCATTTCACTCATGAGGGTGGCGTAGCCCTTGACGGCCTCGTCCTGGCCCATGTCTTCGAGCGCTGCCAGCTCTTCGGCATTGCCTGCGGCGCGGAGGCGGCGGATGGCATCTTCGCGTCGGCGATTGGCTCGACGCGCCGCGTTGAAGTCGGGTTTGGCCGAGCTGAGCACATTGTTTTTGGCCCAGCGGCGCTTGTTCCGCGCCATGTCTTCAGCCTGATGCATATCATCGTCACCGCCTTGGCGTGCGTGTTCCTTGACGAGAGCCTCGTCAACGTTTTCAGTGGAGGTGCCGCCAAGGTAGACAAAATCGAGCGAGGTGTTGAGCAGAAGTGCGTTGCGTTCAGCTGTGATGTCGTTGCCGGAGACGAGGTAGTAGAATACGTGGAAGTTGCGCTCTGAGGGGCCTTGCTGTACAACGCGAGACTTTTCCAAGAGATATTGTGCGATGGACACGCCCTGCAGGCGGTGGCGCGTGTCGAATTTGATGAGAAGAAACTTGCCAAAGCGGCTCGAGTTGTTGTTCATGATGGTCTTGGCGTTTCCAAAGGCTTCGAGAATGGGGTTGCTCGCCAGGATGCGCTGCTCAAGCGAGGACCACTGCGTGGCATCAAAGGCCCCCGAGGCATGGTGGGCAGCCGTATACAAGAGCTGCCGCACAAAGTATTTGGCAGTTTCTGTTTTTCCCGCGCCAGACTCGCCCGAAATGATGCAGCACTGGTTCTGGCCCGAGTGGACGAGGCTGCGCATGGTGGCTTGAGCCATGTTGTAAACGTGCGGGAAGGGGTTGCGTTGTTGGTTTGACGCCGAGAAGACCTCCTGAAAGTTGCGGTTGTAAATGTCAATCGACTTGAAAGGGTTGCAGGCCACCAGAATGTCACCGATATCCGTGTAGATGATGTCTTTGGCATAGCGCTGCTGCAATGTGGTGACGATGGCGGCTTCGGAAAAGTTGCGCATTTTGGCCAAGTTGTCTGTTGCACGCATCTATAGCCCGGCACAGCACCCCATGCAGCGTGAGCTGCATGGAGGGTCGGTGTATTTGTAGGCGGTGTTTGAAAGCATGACGCATCCACATACCTCGAGACCATACTGCTCTTCTTTGCTAGAAATAGGAGCACGAGATTTCCTAGACGACACGCCATTGCAAAAGCATGATCAAGTGAGGACACGCGGGTGCGGGCAACCGAAATCGCGCAAAGTGAAGAAAGGGGAGGGGGGACGTGAGGACAGTGCGCAGTCGGGGACGCACGGATCAAAGATCATGGTGTCGGCTTCTACGTCATCTTCGCCGTTTTGCCGAACATCATCCTCGGCAAACCATTCACGGTGCTTAAACTCCTTGGGCTTTGGCAAATACTCTTCGGCCAGGTGGCGCAGGGTTTCAAGACTCTTCTCCTCCTCCACCTTGGCAAGCCAAGGATGACTTTTGAGCTGCTCGGCATTGGGTCGCTTCGTCGGGTTCTTTTTGAGAGCAACAACCAGAAACTCGTAAAAGTACTTGGTCCACTTGTGGTTGGAAGAGAGGGTCGGTGGCTTGTTGGATGGGATTTTGTGCAGCGCTTTCATGGCCGGCATTTTGCTCAGGGGTGGCTCACCTATGTTTGCAGGCAGTGAGGTATGAGGGGCCAGTATCGCACGGCGTGCGTACCTGCAACAAGGACGCGAGCCAAAAGTAGGGTAGGGGGTGGACCTACCATCTGCCAGCTCGATGGCGGTGATGGCGAGTGACCAGATATCGGCCCGGGCGTCGTAGTGCACCGTGCCCGGCGGCGAGAGGTCACACATGATGACCTAGTGAATCGGTCAAGCCCAATCGTAAGACCAGAGTCAAAAGGCAACGGCAAGCGATGACTAAATCCTTCACAATCGAGCGTACTTCGGGTGCCATCCAATAGGGGGTGCCAATGACGGTGTCTCGTTTGGAGGACTCGTGCTGTAGCTGAGCGCAGACGCCAAAGTCGACCAACTTGACCCGGAAGCCCCTGGTCAAGAGGATGTTGCCTATTGGAGGTGAATTTTGGAACAAGACGAGACGGTAGATGCGAGCGTGTCAACAACAACAACAACCCCAAAAAAAGTCGGTCGTCGCAACGCTCGCTGCTATGCTCAAAATGCTCAAATGCATCTTGACGGAAGACGCAAGGAGGAAGGGGGCATTGCTGCAGGTAGACAAGGCGAAAAAAAGATAATTTTCATCCCCTTTTAAATCTCACCTCCTTTGATATCGCGATGAATAATCTTGTTGTCGTGGAGGTAGGCCAGGCCGTTGAGCGCCTCCTTCATGATGTAGGCGATGACGTGCTCTGGCATAAAGGTGGGCTTGCGAACGCGGCCCGGATCTGCGGCGGCAGCCATGGTATAAAAAAAAAGCAGCATGTAATGTGAAATCAAGAGGAGGGAGCGAGGGAGGAGCGGCGTCCAAGCATCGTGCGAAGCAAGGGCCGAATCAGGTGGTCTACCAACCGTCGGGACTGGGCTTGGGTTTGCGGAGCGCCTTGACTAAGCGAGTGGCGGTGCCGTTGGCGCAGTACTGCATTACAAGCCATAACTGCTTACGTAGGATGCCATCCTTGTCCTCTCGGGGAACGGGCTGGAAGTAGCCGCCGTAGAAGCGAGCAATATTGTGGTGACTGGAGAACTTGGCCAAAACCTGCAGCTCAAGCGCAATCTCCTCCTTCTCCTCGGGCACAATGGGAATAATCTTGACAGCAACAATCTGCTTCAGATTTTTGAGGACACCACGGTGGACTTTGCCGTAGGCGCCCTCCCCCACCACTTCCTTCAGGTCGACGATACCCCCCGGGTTCTTGAGACGAGTCAGCGTCATGTTGTCGAGGCTGCTCTCCTGGTTGTTATTGGAAGCCGCCATCTTGGCTCGTCGACCAGGGGTCGAGCAGCCACAAGTGGGGCTCGCACAACGGACAGAAACACCCTAGCAAGCTCTCTTGCCGCAAAGTCCAACCGCCCAATCGTCAAAGATGACGTAGAACCCCGGTCTTGGCGCGCGCGGCCGACCCAGCCACCCAGCTAGCCAGCCAGCCAGCCAAAGGGGGCGGAAAAAAAATGCAAATCAAGCCACCAAGCTCAGGTCTTGCCCGACACCATGCCCCTCCCACTGCCAACCAGGAGGAGGCAGCTATCGGTACTCGCCCAAACCCAAGGGCTATATTCACACGGCCAAAGGCCAAGCACACACAGCAACAGTCTTGAACTGGCACGCAGGCAGGCAGGGGCGTTGATGAAAACGCACCTCTGCACAAAATGCTCTCTCTTTTTGTCTCTCTCTCTCTCGATTCGTCTCTCTCTCTCTCTCTCTCTCTCTCTCTCTCTAAATCTCTCTCTCTCTCTCTCTAAATCTCTCTCTAAATCTCCAAATCTCTTCAATTCTCTCTCTCTAAATCTCTAAATCTCTAAATCTCTCTCTCTCTCCAATAAAACCAAAAACCCTTTTGTTTTTTGGCCGCTCCTGTTTTCTTTTTGCTCATCGTGTTTCCCTCTCTGCGTTTCTACTGTTCTCTCTCCGCGTTTCTCTTGCTTGTTGCCACATCTCTGAATTGTCTCATCCACTGACTCGACTCTCTAACTCCTCTCTCTCTCTCTCTTTCTCGATGCCCTCGTTTGGTTCCTCTGCGTGCCCTCTCCCTCTCATCTCCCCGTCCCGCCGCCTGTCTCCGTCTCGCCGTCCATCTCTGTCTCGCCGTCTCGACGTCACGCTGTCTCGGTCGCTTGCACTCTGTTGGCACGGTCTTTGACTGATTCGTGCCATATTCCCATAGCGAAAAGCCTGACAAGCTCAGCAACCTCCTCTCTGCTTGGGTCTTGCTTCCCTTCATCAGGATCGTACGGTAGATTCACATTGCCGCCTCAGGGGTGCCTGACAGCTTCTCTAATCTCGCACAAATGCCGACCGCCCCACCCGCCACCGCCAAAGCTAAGTTCCTCCTTTCTCACAGCCCCGCCTGCCCGCTGCCATAACGAACTGGCTTTGTTGTGGGCGGATGCTCTGTGTGTGTGTGTTCATATTGTTCACTGCTCCTCCTTTCTTGTCCGCTCGAGCGCTCGTACAGAACAACTGCTGGCGTCAACAGCTGTTGGTATTGTCAGATCAATTTGGGTTGCTTGCATGCTTGCTCTCGTGTGACCTGACTCAGAATACCACCGAGAGGCTCCACTGTTGCGGTGGCCGTCGTGCGTTGGACATCATCCGCAAGCATCGGGCCAGCGGCTCGGCCCCTTTGTGCTGTCACTGGGCTGGGTGGTCTCACTCGTGTCAAGTACAACTCCAGTTGTCGACGCACATGCTACGTTTGTGGCTGAATGAGAAGAGCCTCAGCTCGGAAGCCTAGCTCGTGCTTTCCCACCTCACCGTTCAAAGTGCCACCGGCCACATGGGCCAACGGGCAATAATCAGCATGCTGCTGATGCTTGTCCTCATGATGGGGGTCATGTTCCTGACCTATGACCCAATGGGCTACGCCGAACAAAGCGACGCTGAGCCGCGGGCTATCCTTGCAACGTCCAATGGAGGTGATGCACCTCAGACCATGGCTCACAATCGAAATCCCACGAATGGCGTGCCCATCAAACGCGAGTCGCGACTTTCAACGAGCCACCCCACAGCTGTGCCTCGTCGAGAGGCCGCGCTTAGCATCTCAGACGAACTTGCCTCACTTCGCACACGGCCCGCTGCACGCGAAACGCAAGCCCCTGCTCGTGACGAAGACGACCAAGAAGCCCATGGCGACGATGATGATGATAATGACCAAGACGACGCGCAAGCCGGAGACGATGCCCAGGCCGAGGGGAATGGTGCGCGCAATGACGAGGACGAGCCAGCCTCGCCCTCGTCTCTTGCGGGCACTACCTATTCTTCATCGGCGTGCCCCTTGATTGATTACACTGTTTCCAAGACCCCGACTGGCGTGCAGATTCGCCTGCGACAGCCTTCAACTGACCCACTTGCCTCTGCAGCCGCCGCCGTGGTCTTTGGCACCATGATCACCGGCAAGGATGCACAACACGAGTATCTGGCGCACAAGTCGGTGCAGTCCTTTTTCAACCAGACCCACAAACTCAAGGTGTTGGTTGTTGTAAACGATTCACCACTTTATCGCATCTCCGCCCGCAACTACCCTTGCCTCGTGGAATTGCACGTGCCGCCGGGAAAACACAGCTTGGGTGAACTGCGCAACACAGGCATCAATGCCATTCCCACCGACGCCTTTTGGGTACAATGGGACGATGACGGTGCGCCTGCGCTTGTCCCTGCCGCTCCCATCATCCTCGCTCCGGCTCACCTGGTGGTCTGCGTTGTGCGCTCCTTGCAAACCTGGCAGACTGGCATGCGCCTGATTGCGTGGCGGCGCAGCTTCAGGAGATGATCAAGCAAAAGGCCGCCGTCGTTCTCATGACCGCTCAATATCGCTATTTTCTTGACATGAACAGCAGCTACACTTTTGGCCGTACGTTCCCTCTCGGTTTCCCAGCTCTAGTCTGTTATCGTGTGTGTCGTGTGCACGCAAAATGTTCCACCAGCGAACCTTCATTAATCGTGCGCCTGCTCGCAGTGCCTCGTGGCATCAAGGGTACGCTGCTTGTCCACAAGACTGCGACAGCAGCTTCGGCACAGTACCCTGCCTTGGCCCAGCGGGAGGACTCTGTTTACCTCGCCCGCTTGCGCGAACGCAAGCTCAAGGTCGTGGCCTGGAAGAACGACCCCGGGCTATACTTTCGACTATTTCATGGTGCCAACACGTGGGGGTCCCGACACTACATGATGCACAAACTGCCTGGCCGGCATTGCTGGTGTGTGAATCTGCGCACACGCGCCTACGGCTGCACTGAACCTGCTGTCGATGCTTTGCACCGTCATGTTGAAGCCATTTACGCCGATCGACCCGTCTCATGATCGTTCACCCACGAGTGTTGCGCATTTCGTTGGTAAAAACAACCCTCGATAATTGAACCACTGTCTATATTCCAAGCACCTAGGACCTTGGTTGCCTACAACCGTCATTGCGCTCAAATGATCGCGCCCTCTCGCCAAGGCGTGGACAGGGAAGAAGCGCGTCGTCTCAGCAGCAGCCACCCAGTCATTTCAAAGTCGAGCAGTCAGTTGGGACAAAAAAATCAGCAGTTGTTTTTTTCTTGTTCTCTCTCCCTCTCTCTCTCAAACTCTCAAACTCTCTCAAACTCTCTCAAACTCTCTCTCCAAACTCTCAAACTCTCTCTATCAAACTCTCAAACTCTCTCTCTCTCTCTCTCTCTCTCTCTCTCTCTCTCTCTCTCAAACTCTCAAACTCTCAAACTCTCTCTCTCTCTCTCTCTCTCTCTCTCAAACTCTCTCAAACTCTCTCAAACTCTCTCAAACTTTCTCTCAAACTCTCTCAAACTCTCAAACTCTCAAACTCTCAGACGCTCAACTCTCAAACTCTCAAACTCTCTCAAACTCTCTCAAACTCTCTCTCCAAACTCTCAAACTCTCTCTATCAAACTCTCAAACTCTCTCTCAAACTCTCGCTCTCAAGTCTCTCAAACTCTCTCTCTCAAGTCTCTCAGACTCTCTCTCTCTCACTCTCACTCACTCACTCTCTCTCTCTCTCTCTCATTCTCTTTGTGCTCTCAAAGTTCAAAGTCACAGTTGACACGTCTTTCCTTTTTGGGTAAGCGGGCAGCGGCGGGCATCGAGCCGTGTGGCGTCGTGTACGAGCCACAGCGGTCGCCACCCCTGGCCTGGGTAGTGCGGTGGGAAAAGGGTTGGCGTTTGCAGTGCGAGGGGTTCACTGCTCCTTGTTTTTTCTTCTTGTGTTGCTGTATGACGTCGAGCGAGCTTTGACGCCTCACTGGCCCTCCGCTCATCGCGGCGCTGTTCTGTCCGAACCAAGTTCCTGCTTGCTACATAGCCTTGTCCAACACCGTCACGATGATGATCAAAGTCAAGGTGAGCTTTGATGACCCAGGCGCAGAGCCTGTGGTCATGCCCTGACGCCGCATTCCCATGACCAGGCCCGGAACTTTTGCGCGCTGCATTTGTCTCACGCTTCCTCTCGCGCTCGCTTTAGACTCTGACCGGCCGCGAGGTGTGTGGCGCATCATGTTGCCCCCCCCCCAAAAAACGACCTTTTCACTCCATTTCAGCACGCCTGCCACCTCGTGCCCACCAAAGGTTCCTCCCAAATGCACTCATAAACTTGTCTCATACCCGGTGCTACCACATAGATTGAGCTCAACGTCGAACCCAGTGACACGGTGTGTGGTGCCGAACGTCGTGTCACTCGGAGCTGTTGCTCACCGCCCCTTCCTCTCGCCTAGATCCGTCGTGTCAAGGAACGCGTGGAAGAGAAGCAGGGCATCCCTCCGGAGCAGCAGCGTCTCATCCACAGCGGCAAACAATTGTACGTCTGCGCACGCACCCCATCAGTGCTCTTCCGACCCTTTTCCCACCCCCTGCCTCACTCGTCTTCGCACGCGCTGCGATAGAAACGACGAAAAGACGCTGGAAGAGTACAAGATTGAGAGCGGCACCGTCTTTCACCTCGTCCTTGCCCTTCGCGGTGGCCTCTGCTTTTAATTTGCAACTCTAGCTTCCCTCGTCCTCACCTTGTCTTTCTCCATCTTGCTCCGAACGACCGCTGCCCGCTGGCGCCATGCGCCTCTGTGCATCCATGTACCTCTTGTCAGGCCCTGGTCTCCCCAACTTTGCGTGGTTTTGACATTTCTACGCGCCAAGTGTCTCCTCGCCGCTTGTCTTCGTTCTTCTTCCCTGGCGCGCAGCGCCTAGTCTTCTTCTGAATCGAAGCCCATGTGTGATGCGGTGTGCCTCAATACGAATTCCATTTCAAACGGACCACAAGGTTTCATGTCAATTTCAAGGTTTAAAATGAAAAAGCAAGCCTGCGACAAGGGACGATCAGGCTGAGGCCCCTTCGTCCATGGACAACTTGGCCTCCCGTTGCTTGCGCGCCTTCTCCTCCATTTGGGCACGAAACTTGGCCACCTTTAGTTTGGCTCGCTCACGAACGCTGAGCTTGGGGGCTGGTTCCCCTGTGCTGCTGGCCCGTGAAGAGGTGGCATCCGATTCGGGCGCTGATGCGACTGGAGCAGGTTGAGCGTCACTGACCGACCCCACGGGTTGGCCAGTGACCCCTCCAGGTGGGACTGCATCGGCTGTTGCGCCATTGCCGGCAACGTCACGACGGACACGGCGCCGGCGGCGCTCCAAAGCTGCCGTGACAGCCGTATCCGTACCCATCTCCCCCGCAGCATCAGTGACGGGACGTTGCGTGCGTGCCACAAGCACGGCTGATCGGTCTGGTGAAAAGGCTTGATCTAAGGGTTGCCAGAGCAATGAGCAGTCTCACTGGCCATGCAACACACAAGAACACGAGACAGTGCAACAGTCGGGTGAAGGGGGCACGAGGGAGCTTACCAGGAGAAAAAATGTCGACCGCTACGGCGGGGTCATTGGAAGACTCGGATAGTCGCGCGAGACTGGGAGTGTGCGCCCGAGATGAGACGCTGCGATGAATCACCGGCGTCACGGGTTCTGAAGCAAACCCATCGGTGTCAAAGGAAGAGTCGGCCGTCGAAGGGCGAACCGGCGAGCTGGCAAGCGCGGGAGAGCTGCCAGGGTCAGCAGTCGGTGTAGATGCCTTGGCTTCGGCGGCTTCGTTGGCCCGAATGCGCTCACGACGGACACGGCGGGCACGAGCCGAGACCACCAGCTTGGCGTGGCGGTCCTGCGGCTGATCTTCAGACGCAATGGTTTCAACCTCATAGCGCGGCGTATCATCAGCGCGGTTTGGCAGCTTCTGCGTGCGCTCCATGAGCGCATGAACGCGCTCCATGCGCTGAGCCACTAGCTGCTGCGCACGACTCCGCGCGTCACCAGTGAGTCCAGGGCCCTGCAGGCTAGGGCGAGGGCTTGCAGGTTCTTCCACTGGCTCGGCCGCCACCTCCTCACCCGTCACCTGATCATCGTCTGCTTCCTGGTGCCCTTCCTCCACCCGAGTGTCGAAAAAGTCGGCACCCTCGTCCATCTGAGCCGTCTTGGTTGTGTCAGCGGATACCAGTAATTGCGCAGCAGACGCTTTGCGAGACGAAATGATCTCCAACACGGACTTGCTCTCAAGTTGCGATCCAGAGGGCTCAGAGTGGTCTTCAAGCAGCTCAGCCGCGCTGCGGTTCTCGACAGGTGCAGCATCCTGTTCAAACGCTGTCTGCACTGCTGGACCTGGACCTTTCGGTGTAGGCTCAACAAAAGGCAGTTCTTCCTCGGGCACCTCTTGCAGGGTCGATGCGGAAGTGCCCGCTGGTGGGGTGGTGGGTTCAACCTCTGCAGCCTCGGATTCTGTTGCTGCGGTCTCCTGGGATGTGGTCTCAGCAAACATTGGCGCTTGATCGACCTCAGGCTGACTCGCGACCTCAGGCTGACTCTCAAGCTCGGGCTGACCCTCAAGCTCGGGCTGACCCTCAAGCTCGGGCTGACTCTCAAGCTCAGGCTGCTTCTCAAGCGCAGGCTGCTTCTCAAGCTCAGGCTGACTCTCAAGCTCAAGCTGATTCTCAAGCTCGGGCTGACTTTCTGGCACGGGTTGATGCTGGTCATCCGACTCCAAGTGGGTCTCCGGCTTGAGCTCGGCAACTTTTGGATCAACTTGAATGGGCGTCTCTGTTAGTGTCGTGACATCAAGGGACGTCTCCATTTTTGAGGTCTCTGTTTCTGGGCTGGCGTCCGGCTTGCTCGTTGTACTCGGCGCCTGATCAACTGTCATATTCAAGGCATCGGCCAGTAACGCGGTGGTCTCCAGCTGCACCATGGATACCTCCTGGAGATGAGACATTGATGATGTGTCGGCCCAGGCCACGTCATGGGCTTGAGAATCATTGAACTTTGCACGAGGGGTTGAGGCCCCAAACGTTGGGTCGAGCGGTTCTGATGGCATCGCCGAGCCTGTGGAGGGTGCCGCAAAAGGACCGGCTGGACTCGGTTCAGTGGCAATGTCACTCTTAAGCTCGGGGCTCGGGGTGCGAGGGTGAGGCAGTTTCTCCAACTCCAAGACATCGGGACTCATGGGAGTGGGCTCTGTCTTACTGCGAATGCGCTTGGCTGGGCCGCGAGCAGGGGTGCTGTGCTGTGGAGGGCCCCCCACCTGCTTTGGGGGGCTGACTAGATTGGAGGCAGCACTGCGCCGGCGTGGTCCACCCTTGCTGTGGCGCAGCGGCGTGGAAGCACCAGCATCTGGCAGAAGGCGACGCGGAGGTGCGTGCGAGCGGCGCTCATTTCCTTGCGAGGAGGCGCGTCGCTCAAGGAACTGGGCTTTTGCGTGCTGCCGGGGCGCTGGAAGTCTCTTGGGGCTGGACTTGGCGCGCCGCGTGGAAAGAACCGGGGAAAGGGAGTGGCCGGATGCTTGTCGTCGACCGCGTTCAGGGGTAGCGTCGGAGGCGGCAGAGACAGTCGAGTCGTCGTTGGCCATATTTTGTTGTCGAGCACGTTGTTGCTCTTGGCTCTGCCGCACTCGCTCCGCAACCAGCAGATTAGCGCGGCGAGCGGCGGCGGCTCGGTTTTCGGCTTCGACCCGGCGCGACTCTTCAATTTTGATGCGCTCGCGCTCGGAGCGGAGACGCAACTGCTCTGTGGCACGCTCTTTGATCTCCGAGGCACGCCGCCGCTCGGCACGAACTTTTTGTTTCGCCGCCTGGTATTCGGCGTTGTGTTTTTCACGTTCGGCATCGAGGCGTTGCTCTCGTTGAAGGCGTGCCGACTCGAGGCGCTCCATTTTGCGGCGCATGAGTTCCTCGCCTTTCTGGCGTGCCGCAGCCTCCATGCGCGCGCGCCGCGCTTGAACGGCGCGCAAGCGATCATCCGTGCTACCCGGTGTAGCAGGCTTTGTGTCAGAGGGCCGCGAGCGGCGACGAGGCGACTTGACAGATGCTGCGCTGGAGGGAGCAGATAACCCTGGGAGTTAATTGGAGTCCATGTTCCAGGGTGAGAGTGCTTCAAAATGACAAGTCTGCTTGGGAACAGGCAAATGCATGGCAGGGCAAAGGCATACCTTGACGAGAACGCGAAGCGGCCGACGCTTGCGAATCATTGCTGTGTGTGGCTGTGAGTCGCGAGCTGCTCCGTCGAGGCACGACAGTGCTCAAAACTGGCGAAGTGGGCCCGGAGGCAGCTAGAGTCATTCAAAGAGATATGCGGGAAGCCACGAGGCAAAACGGCCAGGAATGTGAGGGATATGAAAGTAAGGCAGAACCCCTGGAGGAAGGGGGCAGCTGGCGTGATCGAAGCCGACATGGGCAGCAACGCACCATCGTCTTGACGGGGTGAGGAAGGTAGGTGGCGCGGGGAACGTTGCCGCCGCTTGACAATGGCACGAGGAGATGTCTGTGGCGAAGCACCGCCCGATGCCGGCAACTCAGGGGCAGACGTTGTGAGATCGACTGCTTCAATGGGAGCTGTGGTGCTTTCCAGTCCGGTGGGTCCATCGTTGTTGGGCTGGAGCTGGCGGGGCGCGACCACTGTCACCCCGCCATTTGTGGCTGCCATTGTTGCCTTTGCGCTTGCTATGGTTCTTATCGGCGTGTTGGCACTTACTCTGCCCGTACATCAATGAATCAGCAACGCGTTCGACAGGTGAGCCCTCGTCAAAGCGATTTGCACTGCCAGAGACCTCAAATTCCTGCGCAAAGTCGAGGGATCCAGCTCGTGCGTGTCCATGAAAAAAAGGGGAGGAAGAAGCAGAAGCAGAAGCAGAACTGCAGCAAAGGCAGCGATCCACTGGCCCCAGCAGCCCCCGCCGTGGCCACCCCAATCAATGAAGATGCAGGTGACCAACCCCTTCACGTCCGCTCCGAGAGACAAGAGAGACCCTGCCTGCCGCGCCCCCCCGGCACTCGCACACAGCTGAAATGTCTCTCTGTCTTTTTGTGTGTCTCTCTCTCTCTGTCTCTGTCTCTGTCTCTGTCTCTCTCTCTCTCTCTCTCTCTCTCTGTCTCTGTCTCTCTGTCTCACTGTCTCTCTCTCTCTCTCTCTCTCTCTCTCTCTCTCTCTCCTCTCTCTCTCTCTCTCTCTCTCTCTCTCTCTCCTCTCTCTCTCTCTCTCTCCCTCTTCTCTCTCTTCTCTCTCTCTCTCTGTCTCTCTCTGTCTCCCTCTCTCGCTCTCTCAAAAGTTGCTACCAAATGACATCAAGGTGGCTGTCCGCCAAATGACCAGTCACGTCTTGATGCCCAAAGTCGAGGTTTGGATTGGGACACAGAGACGGAAAGACGAAGAGACGGGGCGGGCGACCACCTTCAACAACGACACGGACACAAGGAACGGCACCTCGCTCTGTCAAGAAAGGCCTGCCACGATCGAGAGAAGGGGAAAAGGACCTTGGTGGGCATAGAAATTGCAGAGAGAATTGGCGAAAGGGAAAGAAATCAAACAAAACAGTGCGCAGGTAGCACCCAAACGGATCGACCCCGCGGACTGGAAAAGGCCCTGCTATATCAGAGCCAAGGCTGCCCCGAGAAGCTGTTTCGGGCCCATCGACGACCTGTCGTCACCAACACGGTTGGTGCAGAGCCCTGGTGACAGGTCAGAACACGAGACACGCAAATCAAGACAAGTCTCAATCTACTTTTGGAGGCTGGGGTCATCAATCTACGGACAAACAGAGCAGCACGAGTGAGTTGGACTGTGTCTCAGCGGTCCGCCAAAGAATGGGTTCAAAAACGGAGAGCTGCAGCAAAAGGAGAGAAGAGTCGAGCGAATGCGAGAGCCTGTGCACGCAACCGCCAAAAAACACCTGGCTCCCCTCTTTACTTTGATTGATTAGACAAGATTGAGAGCTACGCACCGCACCAAACTTGGCCATGCGCTGAGTCATGGTGTGACGAACGGGAGCAATGGGTCTCCTCTGCATGAATGAAGCGGAGTGAGCAACCAAGCTATGCGTCGGCTAGGCCATGCACGCGCTAACAGATGGTGCGCCATACCTCGCGTTGGGAGGAGAGGTAAGCCAGGGGCACACAAGCGGCAGCGATCAAAACACCAGCCATGATGGTGTTGGCCTTCCAAGAGCGGGGTTCCGCCCACCAGCCGCCGGCCGGGGACCAGACATACTTGGGATATGCGTAGCGTGCGCCACCACCCTGTGCACCAATCGGTAATCAGCTCCAAAACATGGCACCAAGCAGATCAACGCGATAACCCGCCCACCAGAGCACGCAAAACCCACCATGTTGCTGGCGATGAAGGGTCGTTCACGAGACAAAATGGAAAAAACAACTCGCGCAGAAAAGTGACTGCCGACTGCCACAAGCTCCACTCGCTCGCTCGATCCGTGGAACTGAAGCAAACTGGGGGTGTCAAAATTCTCTATCAAGCTGAGCCACAATTTTTCCCGGTAAACTATAGCCCTTTATCGTCAAAGGCGGCGGGGGATGAGAAATATCTGACAATAATTGTCAGACACGCTTGGCAGATGTCAGCGCTTTTTGCGATGTCGGCCCTCGTCACGAGGCAAGCGCACACGAACCCCATCACTCTCTCTCTCTCTCTATCACTCTCTCTCTGGAGGTTGTCATCCGATCTCAACGACTCTCTCGTGTTCTGTTCTCGTTCTTGAACGTCCTCTTAAACAGTCTGCCGCGTTCTCGCATCCTCTGGTGTACGTTGAAAAGTACCTTTAGCATATCCCAAAATCTCTCGTTTTTGTCCAAAACTCTAACAACCCATGCCGAGTTGCAATCCCTCTCTCAGAAGCTGACCCACTTGAGCAAGTTCTCTTCCACATCATCCCTCTCCACCTCCCATCTCTCAGACGCTGGCTGCCTGAAACGGCTTTCACTTTCACAGGAGCATTCTGAGGTGCGCGCCATGCTGATTCGGCGGACTGCTGCGCTACAGCCCCTGGAGGGCCACTGTTTGCGATCTGCACCCGTGCTTGGATACTAAAAGGCGCGGACCTACCGCGTTCTCAAGGGTCCGCGCCAAGTCGAACGGCTTACCTTTGGCACATGTCTGCTTCTCACGTTGAAGTCCCATGTTGTTCGCTCACCTTCACCCCGTTTGCGTGCGTGTCATCCCGCCATCGCTCGACGATGGCGGCCAGCCCCAGGCCAATCCCAGGAGCAGAACAGACCACAACTGGGCCCGCCTACTCGATCACAGGGCCTGCTGTGGGCCGCCAACTCAAGGGGACGCTTCACTGTCGCCCACGCCACCGCGCGGCACCGACGCCAGCTCGCAATTTGTAAGCTTGCTCCGGAATCGCGCGACCCTGTTTCCTATCCCCCGCCCCGGTTCCCGCGGTTGCCGAGTTGCATGCCATCTCTGATCCGACCATCAACTAGAGAGACCTCGGACCATGGCGTGCCTGCGTCCAGGGGCATGGCTTGCGCCGTTGTGCCTGGTGCTCTTTGCACATCTTGCTGTCCACTCCCTGGTCCTGGCTCAGGACTGCCCGACGGTCGCACCTTGCTTGGCTCATCAACTGCCTCAGTATAGCACAGGTGCGTTGCGAAAGCACACTGAACCAGTGGCGTAGTCTCTCTGCCTCTCCCTCTCTCCTCTCTCTCCGTCTCTGGCCTCGCTGTCACGCGATCTCTCCGTCTCTGTGTCTCTTTGCTGATGCTTCCTTTGGCCTGCATTCGTGCGTATTAACCAAACTGGCTTTCTTTGTCTCAGCGGGCTGCCCATCGTGCAGCATGTCCAGCAAAACCCACTGCGGATGTGAGACCCATGCCAATTCCACCAACATCCAAGTGTGCGGAGCCGATGGGCTCACGTACGACTCAATTTGCCTGGCCCACTGCGCTGGCGTCGCCTACACCAGAGGCGCGTGCCTTCCTGGCAGTCCTGGAGTGGCTTCCTGCACCAAGAGTAGTGAATTCTACCTGCTCTGTGAGCGCTCCAACGGCTTGCCGGTTTGTTACAACGGCACTCTGTACCAGAATGAACAATGCGCCTGGTGCGCGTTGAATCGAACCCGCATCCACACCACCTTGCCCGTGAACGGCGCTTGCCCCACCGGCGGTGACGGCAGTGGTGAAGCCTCCACCGCGAGTCCCTGCATTTGTCCTGAAAACTACCAGCCGGTATGTGGCAGTGACCTCCACACCTACGGCAACGCCTGCCAAGCCCGCTGCCACGGCGCAACGGTCCTCTACGATAGCCCGTGCTCGGGCATTCAAACCTGCGCCGATCCAGAAACCACCGCCGCCAAATACTGCATGGCCCGCAACGCCCCTCGGGAGCTCGTCTGTGGCGATGACGGCCGCCAGTACTACAATACGTACTGCGCTGAATGCAACGGTGTGCTTGCCAGCTACGGAGGCTACTGCGCTACCGGTGCTGTCGTGGACGTCCCTGCTTCCTCCTGTACGGCAGACCTGTTTCAAACCCGCTGCAACAGCTGCCCTTATCCGGACTCACAACTCTGCCAAACAGTTTGCGTTGATAACATGCTTCAATATTCCAATGTCTATTGCGCGCAGTGTGCCGGTCACTCTGACTTCACCATTGGCACCTGCCACCAGCAATCCGAGCCCAGCGTCGTCATCTCCTCCTGTCTTGCCAATACCACGGGCATCGCTGCTCTCTACACCGTTGCTTGTCATGAGCGTGACGAGGATCTGGTCTGCAGCCGCGGCGCTACCTACCGCAACAGAGCCTGCGCCATTTGCAACGGCCTAGCCCAGTCAGAGATTACCGCGGGCGAGTGCGACATTGGATTTGACTTTGTCGGCAACTGCACCCATGATTCACAGGATCACGGCTGTACCTTCTTTGACTTTGACCCCGTCTGCGGCCTAGACACGGATGTCACGTACAAAAACTTCCAATGCGCCCAGTGCAACGGCGTTCGAGACTTTGTGACTGGACCTTGCAATGCCACCATCGACTACCAACCCTGCGACTCGGTCGAATGTCCTAGCAACGCCGAGTGCACGCGCACGGTCGCTGATTGCGACTTTGGCCAGGCCGACAGCTTTTGCGGGTGGACGCGCTCCAACGTGGCTATCAGCAATGACCCAACCCTGTCAGACGTCACCGTCTCGGATGACAATCAGTTTGCCGAAATCAAGGCTGGTCAGCACGGCACCCTCGTCAGTCCCTGGATGCCCACCATCCTTTTCGGCTACAACTGCGTCCTAAACATGTATGTCTGGACCTCGGACGCCAGCGACACCCAGTTTGCCACACACATCGTCAACTCGACTGGGCTTGAAGAAAGCGATACCTGGATCGGCCAGCTCGTGTCTCAACGCTGGCAGCTGGTTCGCGTCCCCATCCGCTCCGTCGACACCAATGTCACGGTGCGAATTGAAGCCACAGCCCCCACTTCGGGTCGCATTGCCCTGGACAACATCGAGCTCGCCTGCGGTGAAGCCACCGAGGGTGAATGTGCCTGCCTACCCGGTTACATGGACGTCAACAACGCAACCGAGGCGGTCCAGTGCGTTGTCGACTCGGATGAGATTGCGCCCACTGACCAGCCCCCCGTCGTCGGTGTCGACACTTGCACAACCGATGGGTAAGTTGCAAACCCAGAGGCCATGCCTCGATGGATGCTGACCCGCCACGGTGCTTCTTGCCTCATTCACACACATCTTGATCGCTGCTTTTATTTATAGAGTATACGCGGACTATTGTCATAGTCGGGATCAGAGTCTGGTCTGTGGCGTCAACTATGCATCACCGGCAACAAACAACCTGACCTTGTACAAGAACGAGTATTGTGCTGCCTGCAATGGTGTCGACCGCTTTTCCATGGGACTCTGCTCAGAGCCGCCAATCTCTCCCACGGAGCCCCCTGTCCAGACCTGCACGGCTGAAGGCTTGGCCAAGTTGGCCTCTCCGACCGAGCGCGCCCGGCTCAACGAATCCTGCCTCAACGAAGACCTCACTCGCTATGTTTGTTATGATGGAGTTACGTACAAGAATGAGATGTATGTCGCACCTCGAAGCCTCCTCTGACTGGTCTTTGTCTCCGTCTGTTTGTTTTGTCCACACTGGCTGCATCGAGCTACTTTGGTTTTCGAAAGGGTGGTCCGAGTCTACCCCATGCCCCCTTGCACTTCCCTCATCGAAGCGCCGCATGACCTTGTTTCGCGATCGCGTAGTTGCCTGTACTGCTCGGTAGCTAATTTCTCGTTCAGTCACGCAACCTCGGGCGCTTGCGGCACCATCCCCTCGGCCACGGAGCAAATTTACAAGTCCTGCGCATTAAACATGTCTGCTCACCCCGAGCTCGCCACCTATGAAGCGGGCTGTCTCAACAGTGCCGATTCAACCAACAGCTACGTCTGTGCCAACGACCGAACTTATGGTATGCACCGTCGCGCTTCTCTTGCTCGGACGTAGTCAGCTCTTGTAGCTTGTTGAATTACCGCAAAGCGTTCCGTGCTCATGTGTCGACACCTGTTAAACCGCAGCCAATCGCAATTGTGCCATTTGCAGTGGCTATGGCCCGGCTGCCATCTCTGCGGGTCCATGCAGTGGCTTGCCAGAAAACAGCATTTCCACCTGTGCGGATGGGTCCATCGAAGCATGCCGCTGGTTTGAAAACGCATTCGTCTGTGGCGTACAATCGGACGGCTCCCTGGCCACCTTTATGAACCCATCCTGCGCCCGTTGCAACGGTGTGAGCGAGTACACGACCGGGACTTGTGCCGATCCAGAGCCAGCACAGCCCTGTGACGCTGTCCAATGTGCGGCTCATGCAACCTGCAAGCTGACCATCGCCGATGCCGACTTTGAATCGGGACTTGGCGGCTGGGACAACTCCGAGGGTGACGACTTGACTTGGTATATCGGATCATCGACTCCATCTGCGGAGACTGGTCCGGTACGTCTGCTTGTCTCTGCAAATTGTTGACACGTCAGCACAAACCACACGTTCAGACGCATAGGACGCATAGGCTCACTCGTTTGCCCATGGATGGCACTCCTGTTTTCGCTGCATCTTACCCACAGGCCTTGGACCACACATACTATCCCGAGTCTTGCATTTTGAATACGACTCAAACGCGCCAGTGCCCGGTCGCGACATCCGCACCCCGTGGCCACTTTGCCTACATTGAGGCCTCTGGCTTGCCGCGAGGCCCTCTCTCCACGGCTTACCTGTTGAGCCCCATGGTCAATCCAGCAAACGAGGGCTACCGTTGCCGCCTCAACTTTTGGTATCACACCTTCGGTCGCGACATCAAGTACCTGGCAGTGGATATGAAGCGCAATCCCGAAACTGTTGTTGAGCAGTTTGAAACGCTATGGCAGTATGAACCGAGCACTCCCGGGGAATCTTCGTTTGATGTCTGGCGCCAACACAGCATCACACTTGCTCCAGACAGTGCCTACGATGACAGCATCGTGCAGCTGCGCTTCCACGCTGGCGTGACTGGGCCCGAAGCCGATATCGCGATTGATGATGTCGCTTTGGTGTGCGATGACGATTTTGTTGGCAGTTGCGTTTGGTGGGTCATTCTTCCTCTTCCGCTCATTCTGCGCTCTGGCTGGTCATAATGCTGATGTTCTCGTGTGACCCTTCTCGCAGTGATCCGGGTTACTCCGGCGATGGTGAAACCTACTGCATTGCAGATCCCAATGAGTACCCTGCTTCAACCCTTCCGCCTACTGCCCCTGTCAAAACCTGCCCAAGCAATGCCAACTTTTTGACAGCCCTGCTATGTCGGCAAAACGCTGTCAGCCTGCCTGATGTGTGCGATGAAGCCACTGACACGAGCTACGCCAGCGCCTATTGGTACGTAGAGCCCCCTCGCCCGTTGTGACGCCAACTTGCGACCCTTTTCGCCCCATAATGTGTAGTCGCAGAGACCAAACTAAATGTAAGACCGCTTTTCTCAATCACCATGTTTTTACGACAACAGCGCTCATTGCAACGGAGTCACTGAGTTCCGTCGCGGCCGCTGCGATCAGTTGGAACCCGGCGTTGACATTATCACCACTTGTCCCCGTGATGCCTCGCCGATCTACACCCAGCTTTGCTACACAATGCCCCTGGAGATCACATGCTATAATGGACAGAACTATGCAAACCCACAGTGCGCGGTGTGCAACGGGGCCTCTGTTAATGAGGTCAACAACCCGCGTGAATGTGGCGTCAACTCTACATATGAAACATGCTCAACCGAAAACGGCCACGACGACTCGCTGGTCCTCCTCTGCAGCTTCTCAGCCCTGGACCCGGTCTGCGCCAATGGCACCCACACTGTCCGCAGCTTGCCATGGTATGCATTCCGTCACCTGTACCTTGCCTGTTTCTCCATTTCACTTGCTCGTGGCTTGCCGCAGCCAAGCTCCATTTCAGACTCACTCGACCATGGTCCGCCGATGCTTAAAACTTAGCGCCGAGTGTCTGGGCTATGGATCTGACGTCATCATTGGGGGTGTGTGTGGGCAGCCTGCTTACCACGAGTCGTGTGCCGACCTCGTGTGCCCGGCCCACTCGAGCTGCGCCCGGACCGTGGCTGACTGCAATTTTGAAGGAGAAGATGGCACACCCAAGCTGTGTGGCTGGACCAACGATATTTCCGCTGATGACTTTGACTGGAAGCTAGGTGTGTTTTTGAATTCCGGGTTCTCAAGACCCGTGGGTTTGTTCATTCATGGGCGTGGGTGGCGACAGCATGCCTCGCTTGATGTGTGATCCCCTTGTCAGCTTGTCTCGTGCTTATGATTGCTGCTGTCTTTCCTTTTCTTTTCTTTTCTTTTCTTTTCTTTTCTTTCCCTTTTCGTTCTTTTTTGTCCTTCTTTTACAGGATCCAACGGCACGTATACTGCTGGTACCGGACCTTCCGTGGATCACACCTACGGCACTGCTGAGGGACACTTCATGTACATTGACGCATCTGGTCAGCAGTCAAACCACTTTGCCCAGCTCACGTCACCCAAGTTCAACATTAGCGAACTTGGCTCCGCTTGTCATTTGAGCTTTTACTACCATATGCTGGGCCAAAACGTTGAGAACTTGACGCTTGAGATACAAGGAGCTGGGGACAGCGATTTTGTCCCTGTATGGGTTGCGGTTGCCCCTGTTGACTCGGCCGAGCCCAGCATTTACGACCGTTGGCGTCATGGCCAACACTGGCTCACAAAGTACGCTGTCGATAGCGATTTGTTTTTCTTGTTTTTCTTGTTTTGTTGGTCTGTTGTTTTTGTTTTTCTTTGGGTTTCGCCGGTGCTTACGACCTCTCCATTCGTGTTCAATTAGCTATGAGGACATGATCCAACTGCGCTTCAAAGGCTTCCGCGGCGACGGTGTACAGGGTGACATTGGTCTTGATGACATTGAGGTCGTCTGTGACGCTGAGGACTTTGGTGACTGCAAGTGCGATGCAGGCTACAGCCTCGATGCCACCGGGGTTCGTTGTGCAGTGTCGTTGAGACCTGTTTTGTCCTCCCTGGTGCATCTCAAAAAAAGCAACCTCTGTGTATCTCACCGCTCGCATGAATGGGCTGTTTGCATTGTTCCGCTGCATTTTAGGCGTGCACTGCTGATCTCACAACAGCTTTGGGTGAAGATGCGCGATTCACCAACCTCACATATCTAATCACAACGGCGGATATCGCGAGCAACTTTGATGGCAATGGTCCATTCATTGGTGTACTTCCCACGGATGACGGTCTTCACCCTATGATGCCCTTCTTCCTCAATTTGAGCTCGTACAACCGAACGCTGTTTGTGGCCACGGTCCGGGCGCTGGTGAATCGTCATCTGATCCTCTCCAACGAAACGTTCCAAGACCATGCTACATTTGCTACCTTGGATGGCACCCATGTTAGCGTGGCGCCGGGCAGTCAAGGCCAGTTTGTGGTTACAACTCATCCGAAAGGTCATGGGTCTGCAAGCACAGGACGTGCTGATGAGAAGCCGTTCCTGGTCAACGCTGACGGGGCCTTTTATGCGTTGTCGGCCCCATTGATCAACGACCTGTTTGCCCCAATCCCAGGGACCCTCGCGCATTGCCATTGTGTAGTTGGCGAATGTTACGTTTACGTCCAGCCAAAGGCGCAGTGCACCAGCACATTTGCCGAGATCTACTGTCCTGAAACGTTTTGTTCTGGGGAGCCAGCTTCTTGGAGCACCTCCTCCACAACAATGGCCCCTGCACCTCAGCTTACCAATGTGACCATGTATTTTGATGCATCCTACGACGACTATCTCCCCTCAGAACAAAGCATACTTGCTTTTAAAGCAGCAGTGCGTTATCAGGCAGAGTCGTTTGTACCACGTTACTCCATCGTTCGAGTGTTCGTGGCACCGGGCAGCATCCAGGTCACTGTGGAGCTGAATTCTGCAGACTCTGCGGTATGTGTATTGAATTTGGCGTGCTCAATGGCAGATGTTCATCGCTGCTTAGCTCATGCTTTATTGTCGTTGTGACTCCGATGCACAGACTGCTCTGTTCAACAGCATTCAAGCAGGGAACTTTGTGGTCGGTGGCATGACAGCCAGCCTGTCCAATGCTTTTCCTACGCCAGGCTCATCGACTCCGATGTGGACGACAAACGCCCAAAGATCGACTTCGACCACAACTACAGAAGGCACCACATCATCTTCCACATCATCTCCCGCCACGACAACGGCTGAAACCAGCACCACATCATCTACCACATCATCCCCCGACGCGACAACGGCTGCAACCACCACCACATCATCTACCACATTATCTCCGGCCACGACAACGGCTGCAACCACCACCACATCATCTACCACATTATCTCCGGCCACGACAACGGCTGCAACCACCACCACATCATCTACCACATCATCTCCCGCCACGACAACAGCTGCAACCACCACCACATCATCTACCACATCATCCCCCGACGCGACAACGGCTGCAACCACCACCACATCATCTACCACATTATCTCCGGCCACGACAACGGCTGCAACCACCACCACATCATCTACCACATTATCTCCGGCCACGACAACGGCTGCAACCACCACCACATCATCTACCACATTATCTCCGGCCACGACAACGGCTGCAACCACCACCATATCGTCTACCACATCAGCTCTCGGCACGACAACGGCTGCGACCGCCATAACCACGACAGTTGCGGACAGCACAACTTCATGGGTGAGTACTACTGCTTCTGGCACGACGACTGCATCACACACCACACTAGGTACTACGAGCGCGACACAAGCGCTCAGCTCAACGGCCACTACGCCCGGCGCATCTACTACTACAAAGATCACCACCACGCCCGGCACATATACTACAAAAGTCACCACCACGCCCGGCGCATCTACTACTACAAAGATCACCACCACGCCCGGCGCATCCACTGCCAATCCGAGCTCAGTCACCACGACGCCCGACGCATCCACTGCCAACCCCAGCTCAGTCACTACGACGCCCGACGCATCCACTGCCAACCCCGGCTCGTCCACTCCTGGCTCTGTTAATACAACACCCAATAGCAACAACCCTTCTTCTTCAAGTTCGATCTCGAGCACCGCTGTTGAATCTTCCACTTCACCAGGCGGATCAACGACTACGGCCTCGGCGAAATCGACGCCGTCAAGTGACGCATCAACCTCATCGGCCATTGCACCTGAGCCAGTCACCAACTCACCCTCCACCGGTTTGTTTCGTGTTTTAATTCCCCAATGACACTCATCTTGCTAAATAGCCTTGTTACTCCATGGTTTCTCCACCTTCACCGTATGTCCTGCATCACTGGATATCTGTGCGTAGGCAAATCAAACGATGGCGGGAAGAAGCGTAGCGTTGTCATTGCGGCTGTCGTGGGTTCTCTAGTGGTGTTTGCCATTGTTGCTGTGCTCGCTGCCTTGTATGCACGTCGTCGACGAGCCGGCGCGGTGGATCTTATGTCTAACCAGTTTAATGGCGAGTATGCCAACCCGACCTTTAATACAAAGTACGTACTTTGCACCACCCTCTGGCCTTTTGACCCGCCCCTTGCGCGCACTGACGTTGTTGCGTCTGCTCTTCTCGCCCTTAGCTCGTCAGTCCTCGCCTTTGACAATCCCTACTACGGCGAGCAGCCAGAGGACGATGTTTTGTAAGCAAGGGTCTACAATGGGATCCATGGTTCCACGAGCCAATTTGTTGATTGAAACCATTGCTCTCTGAGCTTTCTTTGGACTGTTTGTTCGGTGTGGCTGTTGTGAGGAAGGTGGGCAGGTCCACATCGCCCTGTATATCAGCTTGCCATTTTCTTTGCGTCGTGTTTGAATTTTTTTCCATTCTTGATTTGCATGGTTGCAACGCCCATCCACGCTGGGCCCCTTGCACACCGCTTCGATTTCAGCAGATGCCTTCGCCGACTGCTTGCCAGACAGCGAACGCCCTCCTGTCAAACCGAAATTGAACACCCCTAAAACCACAAGATTTTTTCACCACAACACACACTCAAAACACAAACTCCATGATGTCATACTTTTTGGCAGTTGCAGACAAATTTCCAGACAGAGACGACGACGAAAAAAAAGGCGCAAATTTGATTCGAGCACGGCCGTCGAACGAGTGGCGGCGCGTTTGACTGACGCTTTGGAACGACGCTGGGGCTTCGGAACGAGGGCCACAATCCCGGGGGATGCCAGACTCAAGTGGTGTGGTATCGGCAGCCCAGCGCAAGGCGTGCTGGGCTGCTCGTGATGAGTATCAGCAGTGCCTGGAGAAGAACGGCGAGGGTGCGACTCAGTGCGAGGACCTGCGCAAGAGCTTTGTAGCTGCTTGCCCCGAGGCATGGGTACGTTTGGTCCTCTATCGCCCCAAGCACGCACACGCGCTGTTCACGCCTACCTCAAGATGCCTACTCACATGACGAACGGGCGCTCACCGGTCGTCTGGTTGGGTTTTTTTTTTCTTTCTTTCTTTTTTTTTTCTGGGGGGGGGGGGGGGGCATGGAACATGGTCTAGGTCAAACACTTTGAGCGGAGGCGAATCTATGCCCGCTTCAAGCAACGGCTCCTCGAGAATGAAGCAGCTCAGAATGCGGAAGAATGAGAACAAAGCACATGCACAATGTTTGCACGCTCCCTTTGACCTGCTTTGACACCCAATAAATCAGGTGCACCCGCATGCCATCCTCTTTCGTGTGTGTATCTTGCTGAAGTGGGCGGGCCGTGGTGTTAACAGACAACCCGACCTGCACCATGCCACCTCAGCACCAATTGACTTGAGACCCATTCATCATTTGCAGCGTTAAGAGTGCAGTCAATTCAAACCGGCCTCACTCACACACAACTCGGATACCAAGCTAACATGTAACTTCAAATCTAGACGACGGAGACGGTGCTATCTTTGGATATAAAGCTAGTGTCCAGCCCGTCCGTCGTTGATGGCGCCGGTGACGCATCAGGCGTGGCAACTCCTTGTTCATTGGTCGAACTGACAAGGCTCACCTCAACGTGTGCGCGTTTGATCGGTGACACTTTGGAGGGCTGCAACACGGTCATCTGACTGCGGTCACCCAGTGATGTGCGGCTACTTCGTGGCACCAGCACTACAGGCTCATTCGACTCGTCGCCAGGCCTGAGGTTCGGAGCCGTCGTGGTCTGCGTAGCATCAACCAACTCATTCGACCCATGTTCAGGGGCCGATACAGGGTCATTGCCGGTCGGTGTCGATGGCCGACGAAGAAAAGTCATTTCCACCTCATCGCTGTTGCCGTCTGATTCTTGCAGTCGTGCTGCCTCGAGGCCAATGCTAATGTCACTAATGTTTGTATTGGTGCGCTCAAGTGGCGAAGGGCTCAAATAAGGCGTGATGTGCTCCTGCTGCAAAGGCAAAACTTCCGGTGACTCTGAACGCTCCCCCTGGTCCAACGGGATGTTTTCGGCCTGCTGGGCCACAGAGAGTCTGCGCGATGCAGTGGGCTGGCCTTGGACAGAGGAACTAAACAAGGCAACGTTGGTGCGTCAACGATAGATAAGAATGACAAAAGGGTCGCCCCAAGGCATGGCTTAAAAAGAAATGACCCCAAGTTTGGTGTCGAAAATACTTTGGGCAAAGAGGATGAGCGCACTTACATCCAATCCCGTTCCTCAATCTCAAGTTTCTGCAAAAGAGCCAACTTGCGCTCCAGCTCGGCGGCAAGCTGACGACGCCGCTTTTGCAACCGTTCCAGCTCAGCATGGGAGCCCTCTTCGACCATCTCCTCGATGGCCTCCGTCAGCACTGGCTTGCTATGGGGATCTATGGCCAGCATCATTTCCTGCACTTGTTTGTTGCTGGGCAGGCGAATGCGCCGCTGTGCAGGGAGCGCGGTCTGATCACCCGAGGCAAAGATGGAAGCCCGAGCACTGTGACGACGGCGCATGGAGTTGCCAACAGCAACTTCATTGCGGTACGCCAGATGATATCGATGCTGATCGGCTGCCCACTCCATGAGCACCTTGGCGTGGTCCACACTGTCCGTGATCCACACTAGCATGCACGAAAGATGCAGCAACCCAAAGCGCGTGGCATGTTGATCGTGAGGCTTGATTGGGCCAGTCCCAGCCACCGAAACACAACTACAAAAAAGAAGACAGAGGAGAATGAAAGGGCCTTAACAAACTCACCTTCATGGGAACCATCGCTGCTGCCAGCGCGCTTCTTGCTGCTATTGAGAGAAAAGATCCTACTCCGAGGTCGTGCGGCGGGACGACTTTGGTCTCCAGTGCTGCTGCTGTTGCTAAAGGGAGAGATTGCGCTGGCTCGGGTCGAGGCATCTGGGCTGTCGGTTTTACTTCCACCGTTACGAGACGCTTCACTTTGGCTCAGTCGATCTGGGTCGGCTGAAAAGTCGACGCCAACATGGAAACGGTTCTTGACATAGCTGAGATTGACGATGCTGCCCCAAGGTAGCATCTGGCATCAAAGGTGAGTTTGTATTGCAGCCCAGGCCAGCATGAACAGACCAGCATGAACAGCGGCCACGACAAGTGAGACCAGCGGCCAGTACCCGCAAGGACCAATTTCGTGTTGGGAGGGAGAATCTGGAACTCACTCGTCGAGGCTCAGCTGGGTCCGAGTAGTAATACTGGCGAATGCCTTGCTGATTGATGCCCAGGAGCCAGGGCATCCCCTTTTTGTCCTGCAGGGTCAATGGTACAGCGCACAGGAAGTAAGCAGGGTATATTTACCTATTCTTTCCCTTCATGGGGCAAGAGTCGGCAACCACGCCTACACACCTGCACCTTGAAGTAGTGGATGCCATACTGAGGCAACGTTTGAACGATCGTCATGAAGCTCAGCATGGCGCTGGTATTCTCCATCCCAATCAAGGTCTTGTAGATGGCCGACACCTGTTGCGTGCAGAGTTCGAGGCTTGATCCCTGCGCCACGAGGACCTCATCGGCGATAAGCTTGCGGTTGTCCAAATGATGTCGTGTGGCCGAGACGTCGATAAAGTCACCTTCAATGGTCTGGGGCCGGGGCAAAAGGTACAGATTAGTGGGATGAACCATCAACGTTCAAATTGGCTCAACACCAAGGAGAAAAGGGTGGGTTGACAGATGAGTGTAACTTCATATCGCCACCTTCCCTTGGCTGGTCCATTTTACCGCAACGATGACCCTCAAATGAGAATCTTGGCCGAGCATACCTGGAGTGCAAGAGCTGCTAGTGTCATGGCTTGATCCGTGGGACACGCCAGATTACCCGAGGACAAAAGTCTCAAGGCATGGCGAAAGAGGAGACGCTGGGTGCTCAGCTCTTTGACAATTCGTATGTCGCTCGGATAATATCGCACGGTAAACGTCAGCTGGGGAAAAGTGCGAGACTTGACCTGCTCCTTGACGGTGCGATCAAGTTCCAGCCACATGGAAAGGCCAGGTCTGAGAACGGGAACGGGGGGCAGACATGAAGTTGAGATTAAAAAGTGTGCGCTGAGAGCGCCGATATGAAGTTGAGATTAAAAAGTGTGCGCTGAGTGGGAGTGCCCGTGCTGCTTCTGTCAAAGAAGACTGACCGTTCCGGGTGATCGAAGCAGAGCCCAAAATAATCTTTTTCATGAAGCGCGTACTGGGAGACGACCATTTGAAAGAGCTCGGCGCCTGTGATTGAGGACTGTGATGAACAGGCGGCCCAACAAGATAGGCGTTGAGGGCCGTGAGTGTGAGAGCGCAGGCGCACAAGAGGTGTGGACAGGGAGCTCGACGGGACACAATCTGACCGAGGCAGGGAAATTGCGGATTGAATCATCCAACATGAGGACTCGGCAAGTTCGATCGGCCATGCCTCCGGTTGCCTTTCGGCGGCGCCAAGAAGAGGAGGGATCGCGCGCGGAAATGTGAAGGAATGCTCGGATTAAAATATCAGGATCTGAGTCCCGCCCCTTGGCGCTCACTTGGCGTCAAGGGCAGGACACGGATAGCAAGGCCAAGCCGCACAGTGAAGCGTAACACAAGCCTGCAGCATATCAAGGTCCGATGCAGATGCGGCAAGAGGTGAGCGGAAGCCGAGGCTGAGCGTCAAGCCGCAAGCACACACGCGTTGGCTGACGAATCACGCGCACGACTCACTCGTTGCTCGCAGCCCGATAGCCGAGCCGCTCGGGCACTTGCACCCCGCTAATCTTGACAAAGAACGCCACCTCTATAAAACCACCCTGGATCAAAAGAGCAGAAGCGACCGAGGCGTCTGATCACGCCGCCGGTTGCCGCCGCCGGTTGCCGCCGCCGCCGCTGCCGTTCACCACCTCTGGCCCGATCCGCCGAGTAGAATTTAACTTCCCAGGGGTACAACTGAAAATCCAGAAAAAACGCGCTGGAAGCGTAAATTTTATCTGTTGTCAACAGCTGTTTGTCAGCCTTATTTGGCTCGGCGGGGACGCACCATCGAAAACAGTGGAAGAAGAACGGCGACGTCAACGCCCACCAACGGCAGCGGCAACGGCAACGGCAGCGGCAGCGGCAGCGGCAACGGCAGCGCGGTGTTCGCAGCTTCTATTACGTTGCTGCTTCTATTTTCTGGTTAACGGTGTATTTTCTTGATCCTTGTGGTGTTTGTACCATTGGATGAATGTCAAGAGCACGGGTTGTGACCGACCTCAGAGGCGTGTGAAAGCGAAGCGGTCGCCGCTTGTGCGCGCAGGAAGCGGGTGCACGAGGAATTGGCAAGTTTGTCTTTCTGACTGGACAGCATGGCCAAGGCAGAGGCCAGTTTGTCGGCGTCGCTGGGCCTGCAGTGGCCGCTGGAGACGCGTGACTGGTTGATTTTGCGCGAGGGCTACCTGTCCAAGTCCAAGTTGGCCAAGGGACTGATTCGCTCGACCAAGCTGCGCTGGTTTGTGCTGAAGCAGGACCCAGTGTCTCGTGAATCGCGACTCGAGTATTATGAGGGCCGCCTGTTTCGCGGCTCTTGTACGCTCCGCGATGCTGTCATCTGCCCGGCCAAGAAGCCCGGGACCTTCAGCATTCAAACGCCTCGCGCTCAGGGTTCGCGCACCATCACCTTGGCCACAGATGCAAATCAGGTAGACCAAGCCACCCAATGGGTACTTGCACTGAAGCGGGCAGCCACCTCCAGTCGTGACGCCGCCGCTGCTGCCGCCAATGGGGACACGCAGTCTTTGGCTTCTCAGGGCAGTGGCAACTCGCAGCGCGTTTTGCAGCAGCGTCTGTCCCTCGACCTCAACGCGCTCATGGCCGACGTGACAGTCGAAAACAGTACGTCGTAGCCTGCATCTTATTTTTTTTTTGTTTTTTTAATTGCTCGCACGGCAGCGAGAATCGAATGGGACTTGCGCCATCTATCCGGAATGGGTTCCTGAGCTGGCTACGCTTCTGCGAGCTCGGGCTCTCGTGGGTTGCCTGGAGTCGAGCACGGTGTAGTAGCTGACCAGGTGTCTCTTTCTCGCCGTTTGTTTAGCTCGATCACGGGGTGGCGATGGCGAAATTGATGGCGCTGCCATTGACAATGCCCGATGGGCAGCGCTGCGCAAGACTGGGCAGCCCGAAGAGGAGGCACAAGACTTTGAGGAGGATGAGGACGTGCGCCTGCTCCGTGAGATGGAAGAAGAAGAGGAGCGACGTCAAGAGGAGGAGCGACTCGCTTTCCTGGCTGAGCGTGAAGCACAGAAGCAGGCACAGAAGCAGGCCGCTGCTGAGCTGGAGAAAGAAGCTGCTGAAGAAAGCACCCCGGCAGCTGACCCAGAGCCGGAGGTTGCAGAGGGTGATGTTTCGGAGGATGAGGATGATTTTTTCGCAGAGATGGAGCGCGCCGAGCGCGAAGAAGCCGAGCGTCAAGAGCGTGAACATCAAGAATGGCTCAAGTCCCAAGCTGCCCAGTAGACAACAGACTCTCTGCGGCGACCGGTGCCTCAAAACTCGCTCGGGTTGTCTTTCTCTTGCTTTCTTTCTCGTGCACGTGCAAGCAGCCAGACCGCCTGCCATCCTGTGAATTCTAAACCTGTCAACTTTTCTTCAACACACCCTTGCGCCGTGCCAGCGTCATCCTTTCTCTAACCCCACCTCGACCGGCGACCGAACGCCCGACATCAGCCGTCATTCAAATCCACCACACACAGACACAGACACACACACACAGACACACACACACACACACACACACACACACACACACACACACACACACACACACACACACACAAAGTCTTTCGTGGTGATTTCGTTATGTTTTTTCTTTTTCGATTTGTTCTCTCAATTTCGCGGTTTTGGAGCTTTTTGGCAGAGAGGGAGTGACTTTGAGAGGTGACTTGCAGCCGTGTGTTAACGGGGCGTGTGTGGCGGTGGTGTACAGGTCCTTGAGCCGTGTCATCCTGTTCGTGTGCAAGTGGGAGACCGCTCAAACAGGTGGGGCTCTACACCGTCCCAGCATGATGCTTCAGCATACGGTCGTCGCTTGCCGTGCGCTAATCTTGACGCTCGCTGCATCCCGCCGCAGATCAACATGCCATTTGGAGTTGGCGAGATTGTGCTCATCTCCGTCGCGGGAGCCTGCCTGTTTATCGGTGCGTCTGCTGACCACTTGGGTTTCTCCATTCATGGGTCGCTTGTTAGCTGATTCAACTTGCGAGGAATCGTGTCGGCAGGGCCCAAGCGGGTGCTCCCGAAAATTGCCGAGACCCTCAAGGTGGCCCGCGAGGCCTTTGGGGATGCCTCAGTTGCGGCTAAGAATGCCAGTCAGAGCACGCGCGCTCCCGGGAGCGGCTCAGCCAGCGGGAGCAGCGCTCCAAAAGCTCCGAGCCCCAAGGTGACTCTTTGGACCCAGTCCTCTGTCTCTCTCTCCCCCCTCCCCCTCATCAACCTGGCATGCCTTGACTTGACCATCAACCAATGGGCAATAGGATTCACAACCCCCCTCCTCGCAGTGAGGGGCTCAAGCAAGGTTGAAGCAGACTCCTTCACCAATTGCCTAGACCTTTTATAATTCAATCTGGCACGGATGGCTGCAGCTTCCATCTCTTTGGCTGGCTGCAATGTTCGGTTGCTCCCAAGCACCTGACAATGCCCTGGCCACCAGATATGCCAAAAGCCAGAGAAGCGTCCAGCGTGTTATTTGTATGCTAGCCCCTGCCAAACGCCGGCAGCAGCTTTCTGACGCACGACTCGATCAATTTATGTCGCATTCAACTGCCTTGCATCCACTCGACTATGACGTCCGTCATCAAGGATTCTACAACTCGGTCGTTCGTTGCATTTGCAGAGCCAGCGACCTGACATCATGCGACACACATCACGATATGAGCTTTGCTGTCAACCAAGAAGCAGCACCATCACACAAATGCAAACGCAATTTTTGATGCACGGGCCACGCACCGCTGCGCCTCATCCTCTTCCTCCGCCTGAGCTCGGCTGAGGTCAAACAGATCCTCGTCAATGATTTGGCTGCCGCGAATGGTCAGGTAGTCGGTTGGGGCCTCACTCACTGTGCCCGTCTGCAAACTCGAATCACTCCCATGGTGCTCTTCAAACGGTTGATCGGCCGCTTGTTTATAAAAGGTCAACAACTGGCCGAGATCAGCAGCCATGTCGACGTGACCATGGTCTCGCATGTGTGTCTAATAACATGTTATCACCACTGTCAGCTAGCGTCGTGATGTGCACAGCATGTGCTGCTGGCGCTCCGTCATCGTCCACAGACTAACCTGCAAGCCCTCCTGATGCCGTTGCCCATACTCAGCCAGTGCCTGAAGAGCGGCAGCGGCTGATGGCAGATCGGCATCACTGGTAGCCTCCTCAAAAGCGCGGCGCAGCGCTTCGTTTTCAACCGGCTCTTGGTCATGGACAGAGGCATAATACTCTTGAATCTAAACCCCAAGCCAAATAAGAAAGAGGAGTGAGCGTACGCGCAGACAATAGTAGGCAAGTGCGGCGAGTGCGTCTGAAGACAAAAAGGATGAAAAACAGCTAAAAAACATCACGTCCCACGTCAGGCTCATGCTGGTGGTGTACCTTGTTCTTGTAAGCGGCAACCTCTGTCCGGTAAAGGTGCTTATTGGCAGGCGAGTGCTTGCCGAGCTGCTGCTCCGAGGTTGACGAAGCGTCCATGACCACCTGAGCAACGGTGCTGAGACAAGAATTGACAGCCAAACTCTTGTCCACCTCAAAGAGAAATTCGGGATTCTTGATCAGGTTGATCCAGAAACGAAGCGTGACGGCGTTATTCTTCCACACATGCAGAACCTCGGGGTCTGTCATGCCTTGTTCGCCAGCCAACCGGTCCAACAGATCAAAAACGCGCTTGACCACCACAGGATAAGCTTTTGCGTTGAACATGGCATCTAGCAGCTTCTCAACAAAAGGTTGCACCGTCATTTTGACCGTCATCAGGTAGGTCAAGAAGACCTCCGAGGGCATCTTGTTGGCAGCAGCCTCAGTCTCTGTCTTGACCAAGTGCCACTGCGCCAGGGTAGCCTGCGCACCATCAGACGTCTGGGACACTGAGCCCCGAGTAAAGCGCCGCTTGTTTGGACGCCGCCCGCTTTGCGCGGCAAGATCGGCCTCAAAGGCTTGACGACTCAAAATGGTGCAGCTCACAGCTCGAACAAGTCCGTAATGACGCAAGGTGTTCAACTGGACACTGCGGGCTGTCACCAAAGAAGTTTCATCTACGTCTTGCAAGATGCGCCCACTGCCGTCCTCACGCAGCACGCCATCAATCAGCTCCGACAGCACCGTCTTTTCAACCTCAGACTCGTGGTGTCGCCGGAGCTTCGCCGTAACCTGACTGATGGTATCACAGTCAAGGCATGTGGTAGATATGGTCGTGCCGTCCGAAAGACGTGCCGTCACCTCAACGGTTTGGTAGTCCACTCGCTCACGCAGCAATGTGTCAGCATTGAGTGTGTACATGGCCGCGCCCGTCACCGCGTCCATGGGGCCCTTCTCCGTCTGCATGGTCAACGCCTAAGCTCAACACCCAACAGTCGCGAGCGCATGAGCCCCTGAGACGGACCTCGAGCGAGAAAGCACAACTATCGAGAGACGACTTCAGGGTTTTTGGCTCGAGAAACAACAAGCAAAGGCAGGTACGCGCACTTGGTAGAGATTGAAAAGTTCGGCCGCAGCGTGGTGGCGAATGTGACCATACATGCCCAGAGACAGACAGGTGGTGAGGAGCTTCTCGGCCACGCTTTCAGTGCGGCGCAGCAGCAGCTTGGCATGATTGCGCTTGACGCTTTGCTCCACCTGCTGAGCCAAGAGCATTTCGAGTATATGGAAAAGGTATTCAGGATCGTCGCGCAACGCCAGCGTGAGCAGTGAAGCCACCTGACAGCGGTCACGGATGGCAAATCCGCGGCCCTGCGCCTCCAAGCCGCCGATAAACTCCAGAACAAAGCTCTCGTCTAGCAGCATTGCCTTGAATTGGCGGCTCAGCTCGGAAGTACCCGGTAGGACCTGACTTGGCGCCGGGTGAGTCTGGGGGTGTGTGAAAAAAACTCGTCGTGCAAAGTCATCTAGGCAAGGATGAGGCCGACATGACAAATGGGATGAGACGACATGAAGTATGATGCCTCTACCGAGCGTGAGCGAACCACTAAAACACAAGCACAGCTTTCAAAAGCGGCAGTACTCAGGGCATGCCCTCTTCTGCCAAGACGAATCAAACGCACCAAAGCGTCGCGGGGTAATGTTGTCGCTGTCAACGGCCAGCACGCCAGCAGCCTGAAGCTCCGCGAAACCTTTCTTGGCTACTTCTATGACGGAGGACTCACGCTCCTCGATTTCCCGAATGAGCTTGCGCTCGGCAGCCTTGCGACGCCGCTGGGTTAAAAAGTATCCCAAGACAACCAAGACCACTAAGACGCCAAGGCCAACAGCCAGGCCAATGGCCATGGCGGCATCAGACCCGGCCGACGAAGCGGCGCGCACGGCTAGCGTCTCCCCAGAAAGGACTGAACTGGCATTGCCCAGCCGTACTTCAACATCCACAAACCCCTGCGAGTCAATAGCCAGGTCTGGCACCAGAACAGTCAACTGATCATCCGAGGCAGACTCGATGGACGAGGGCACGCCCCCGATCAACACAGTGACATTGCCGGCGCGCGTTAGGAATCTTCCCTGAAGCAGGACTAAATCCCCAGGCTGCGCTTCGCCGGGGGAGATGCTGGTCACCACTGGATCCGGAAAGTAGCGACAGCCGCTGGTGTTCAGGACCAAATTGTCCAGCGTGACCATCCAGTGAGATATCACGCCCGTCGCTACAGGCTCTTCTGCCAGCCCCGGCACACCACGACAACGCAAGCGCGAGCCATTGACGGCCAGGCTGCAGCGGCCAATTACCACCCCGGCATCACTCAAAACGGTGGCGACCCCGGCATACACGGCGGCCAGGCGTTCACCCAACACGTCAACAACCACACCGCCACTCCTCGGTGCTACGCTGGGGCTGATGCCGGCAATGGTGGGATTGTCCACGACGGTCACGCTGCCTGCAGGGACCTGACTGGCAGCACACTCTGTGGCGCCATCATAAACGAGGCACACGGGCGTTTGGGCGTCACGGCGGCGGCGGCGGTCGTCATCTGGCCGCTCCGACATGGTACAGCGAATAAGAGCATCGGTATGACTGTTAACAACGCAGGGCACACCGTCAATGGCAACACTCAAACTCGAACCGGTCTGGAGGTTGGTGCCGGCAATGCTGGCTTGCGCTCCGCCAGCGGCGATAAATTGTTGGGGCGTGACACGAGCAACGGTGGGAATGACCACCGTCACACGCTGACTAGCTTGTATCACATCGCCGCCATCAACCGTGACCGCGACCGTCAGGGCGCCTGCCTCTGTTGTCGCCGCCAACAAGCAGACGAGGCGACCCGAGGCAACAACAAAGCTGTCCACAGCACAGATCGTCGTGCCAATTGTAACGCTTTGAATGTCTGCTTGACTGCGCCCGAGGTTGGTCCCGCGAATAGTGATTGCCGACCCGCCTGTATTGGGCACGCGGATGGGTTCCACGCTGATAATCTCTGGCTGAGGGCATGCGCTAATGGCGCCATCAGCATTAGGGATCCACTCGACGCTGCTAGAACACGAGCTGTTGCGCGTGCAGGCTTGTTGCGTCTCCATGCACCAGCCGCAGTCAAAGCCAATATGGCTGGCCGCCAAGCAGCGCCCACACTCGCCCGCAACACTACCCCCGCCCATAATGGGGCAGTCATAGGATTGCAGGTCAAAGGAGGCCGGGGCTTTCACGTTTGGCGCCTGAACAGCTCGTCCATTGAAGCGTAACTCAACGGTTCGCGCCAAGATCCCCGTATCGGGAAGCACAGAGGCCGCGATGGCGGGCAAATCACACTGCACGACACTGGCATTGACAAAAGTGGCCGTCAACACATTATCACTCAGGCCAGTGCTCGGCTCGACAGTGCACGTGTACTCGTCGCCCTCGTTCGTGTCGGGGTCAGGGAGAGAAGCACCGAGTACCAAGAGCGCAGTTTCGCCACTGCTGGCGCTGTGCACTTGCGTTGGCGTTAGCTCAGAGGCCTGTGGGCAGGCAGAGGCGCTGGTAATAAAGTGGGCAGGCAGTCGGCACTGGCTGTCAGCAAACGTGCATGTGTTATCGTGGCTGCACCAGCCACAAGGCTCCCGGCAACCTGGCCGGCAAAGCCATACAGAGCAAACCATACGAGAATCCGTGAGACATGCAAGGACGCACGCAAACGCTTGATTTTGTCACAGCGAGCCTGCAAGCTTGAGGCATCGTGAAGCAGATTTAAGGCACCAGCTTTGATCAAAAGACGCACCATTGCAGCCCTGGGGCTCGAGGACGCTACAGTCGTAGATGTGAAGCGAGGCGTTGACGGCAGCGTGGTTGGACAGGGTGACACGTGTCCCATTGTAGGTCAAAGCTACCGACTCAAGGACCTCAAACTCCTCTGCATTGTTGTGTTCGGCTGGGGTCACGGTGCACACAAAGTTGTCACCAATCTTCGTGGCTTCAAAAAACTGCTCCGTCTCATTGAGTACGCAGCCAAAACTGCCACCTGAACATGGGAGCAAAGGTTAGCCCGCCGCAATGGGCTTCGCGCGTGAAAAGAATTCAAGCAAACAGTCGTGTCTTACCGGCAAGAGCATCCGGTACGCCTGACGTCGTGATGGTGACATTAATCGAGCCCCCGATTGGTGCGGCTCGAGGTGCCACACCCACCAGAGCTGGACAGCTCGCTAGCACTGAGTCGACGAGATGTAGCCAGTGTGGCCCGTCATACTTGGCCTCGCGCGGCTCTTCCTTTGTGGCGGTACAAGCGGCCTTGGTGCTACAGCGGCTTTCCAACACACACCATCCACAGCTCGGATTCCTAACAGATGAGAGAACAGCGCGGGTGAATCGAGAGAATACATTCTTGGAAGCCAGCATACTACGGCGCTGGAGAAAGCAAAGTAGACGCAAACTTGGACGTCAATCAGTTAACCCGAGGGGAGAGAACCGGGCACGCACGCAGCAGCAGCACAGGCAGCACAAGAGTCATAGTTAGCGCAGTTGGCTGCGTCAACGACATTGACGTTGGAGCTCGATGACACAATCAGCTGGTCGCGCAGGGCATCGACTGTAATAGCCGTGACGTCGGAGGCAGCCGTCAAGACCGATGAAGTAGCAACCCGGGTGAATGAACCGGTGGTTTGATCCACTTCAATCTGACACCCAGCGAGCAAGACAAGTACAGGGTGAAAAATGATAACTAGCTCGCAGGCTAGCAAAACATGCCCATTCCAGACTCTCCAAATTTGCTGAGAACCCCTCAACTTTGAGAGAAGACGGGCCATCCCTCAACACACGCACATCTGTGATAAAATGCTGTAACACCGTGCCGTTGCTGTGACCCGTGTACACCACGAAATGGCCGTTAATCTGATCAATGGTGGCCGCAGTCAGCTCGTGGGCCTAAGCTCAAAGCCGGGAGTTGGCTCGTGAGCACAATCACACGATACCCACCAGGCATCATGAACAGTCGTACCGTCACCAATCTGGCGTCAGCGCCCACATAGATAGCGTCTGTATAGTCGTGCAAGCTGCCTTGTTCAACCGTGCAGCCTTCCTGGCTTTGTGTCTCAGAAAAGGCACCCTCCATATCAACGTTGAGATCGATGTAATTGCTCGGTTCTCCCTGTGAAGCATGGGACATGATATGAGTTGGACTTGATCTGTAGATCTGTGTTACGACACCCAGGCCAGAAGGCAATGTGCAAAGAACGAACGGCTGCGGTGGCGACGTCATCGCCGCTCAGCGTGAACAGACAGACACCATCGGTGGTTGTGGCGATGAAGCTGGGTCCGGCCACGCCCAAACCTCCTTCAGCACGACTTGAGGTGAGATCTCCAATGAGCTAGAGCGACCAAGGCAATTGGCAACGGGCAAAACGTAGCGTCGTCAGGTCCGGCCGGTACAAGCGAGTAGGCTGCGTGATGCCAGGCGCAAGGTCATGCCAGGCGCTGACCTCAAAGGCAAAGGCAGAAGTAATGGTCTCGTCCCCCCCGCAGGCAAAGCGCAAACGGGCAAAGCCGTTGTACTGATTGCCCAGTGCACTGTCAGAGAGAGAACAATATAGCAAGGCGACGTGAGGCATGATGAGGTGCATTGTGGAAAACGGGCAATCGCCTGTCAGAGATGCACTCTTTGGCATTTCCCGCAATCCCACGTGCTGCTGACTTGGGCGGATTGCGACAGAAGCGCATAGCAATGGCTTGTGAAGGCGAAGTGGCTTGCGCTTCAAGCATAAGAAAGTAAACAAAATCGTCCGTGTAGTGCCCGGCCAGGTAGTGGTGTGATCGCCCCTCAACAATTTGGCTGTTCTCGCCCGCCGAGGTGGGAGGGATGTAATTGTCGCTACTTGGAACTCCATTGGCACAGGTAGCCCCCGCCTGAGCGCAGGCAATGCTGTGGTGGCAGGTGAGGCAACGCTGCAACCTGGTGCGGACGTCTGCGGCGAGCAGGGTCGGCGAGCAGAATTTTGATACACAAGGCAACTGACTGAAAATCGGGAAATCGACGCTTGGTCAACTGTTCCACGCGAGTCTCATACATTCCGGCCAGAAAGCTATCCCGTGACTGCTGAGCCGAGCTTGCCATGAAGATGACATTCGGCGTATTCGGATCTGACAGGTCGGGTGCCGTGACAAAGGCCACTTGAGAGTATAGTTGGTCCTGTCACGTGAAAAGCAGAAGCCCCCCGCCCCAAGAGATGTTAGGGTGTGATTGACAAAGTTGAAAAGAGCATAGCAGCTTCGCTCGCAAGATTGAGCGGGGAATGGGTGAGCAACAAGTTGCGAAGAGTGTGTGTCAGACGCACCGAGATGGGGGCTGATGAGCTCGGGCCGTAGCGCCAGGTGGGACAATTCTGAAGGGTGGCTTCTTGAACGGGGCTCGAATCAATGCCAGGAAAGCCCACGGGATAATCACAAAAGTAGCCTTGCGGGTAGTCGTAGGAGGTGGAGGGTGACGGACTGAGGGTGGTCTTGTCATAAAAGCGGCACTGATCAAGGGCACTGCATGCCAGAAGGTGAGAAGCATTGTGGGATTGCAGTTGATAAAAGACATTGCCGTTGCAGTTGGAGGCAAAATAAGTCGTGCGACAGCCATTGGTAGAGCCAAAGTATAAGCAGTCGTCGCGAGCATTACAGGCAGTTTGAGACAAGCCCCAGCAGGAAGAGGTATTATCGTCGTAGGCGGCACCGGGATAATTTCCCGTGTGGTAAACATTACAAAAAGCAGGATCACCGGCAAAGTATGAGGCGCGCGTGCTCAGAGATGTGGGGTCCAGCAGATCGAGACCTTGACTATGAGCGACAATGATGCCGTCTACGTCGCTACTATATAGGAGATGCGTGATGCGAGTATAGCCTGTCACGGTGGCAGTGGCCGAACTGGCTGCAGCGTTGGTCCCCAGGAAGGGCATTATTACCACCACCAGCAGAAATAGAGAGATGCGCCAAGTATGCGCAGCTCGCACAGAGCAGCCTGTGACTGTGACAGGCCATGGCCCATGGCGCACAGTTGGTGCAGCCAGGCTGGCCATGGCTGCCGCTTTTCTTCGCGCTCCGATTCGAGGTGGCTCCGGACCCAAGGTGTGAAGACAGGCCCCCCTCGAGCAAGGTCGTCCACAGCACCAGTAGTCCCACGAACGGTGCTGTGCACAGATCGAGGCCAAGCGATGGCACAGTCAAAACAGGATTCAACGCGCCAGCCCGGCTCCGTCCAAACACCTCAAACCCGAACCCATTCCGTTCCGAGCCTCTGCGCAGAAGCAAAAAAAAACAATGACGTCGCCGTTCAGCAGCAAGTGACCACCACTCAGAGACCAAGCAGGCACAGTGGGCCACCGTCATCAACCGTCATTAACCAGCACAGACCCTGTGAAATGCAAAGGGCCCTGCGCAAGGAGAGGTAAGCTGAGGCCAGCTCGAAGCAAGCGACTGCCGTTTAAGTGAAAAAAAAAAAAAAAGTCGACAAAGAGGGGGCGGGTCAACTAGATGTCGAAGCTAATGCAGCAAAAATATACTTTTTGCTGTTTGTAATAAAACATCAGAAAGAGATTATGCAGCGTAAAAGAAGGTTTGTGTAACTCTGGAATGACGACCAAGAATCGAGCGAGCGAACATGGTGAGAATAAACAAAATTGGCACAAAAATTATTCCCAAAAAAAAAAAAAAAAAATAGGTACCATCGGCTGCATAACAAGCCCCGAGACTCGGATCTCAGCGAGAAAGGGCGATTGAACCGAGTCGAAAATTGACATACGCACCCATGCGCTTTCATGGTGCTTGCTTGTCTTGACCCTCGACGTTTGCAAAGAAATCCCCATATCAAATTTCATCAGAATGGGCCATATGAACAAAGGCAAACATCAGAAGGAGAACGGCCATAACGATTATTATTGGTCCCCACGTCCACCTGCTGGTAATCAAGAACACGCTTGATCGAGCCGCATGACCATGGAAGGGCCGAATCTGAAGCAGTAAACGCCAAAACCTGTTTTATGGCCAAATGATAAAACCCGTGTGTGAAGCTACACATGCCAAGTACCTCAAACCTCTCTCAAAACTCTTCCTCACACCCACGCGCTTCCTCGCAACCCAAAACTGGCCTACAGATGTGCTGGAGCCTGACAATCATGGAGCAAACACTAGGCCCTAGCAGTCGCCGGGCACGGTGATCGGTACTATAAAACGCTCAGGCAATTGCTGGCCGTAAGCGGCGCGCTTCCCAGTTGCGTTGGACATCTACAGTTCTATTCATGGTTGCTCGACTACAGAAGCATCATCATTGTATCAAGGGGACCTTCTGACCTTGCCTGAGATGTTGGCTTGGCACTTGAGACAATAAAAGTTTGTGGAGGCTGACTACAAAGTAGTGGGAAAATACAAAAGCAGATATTGTCCACACCTCGAAAAGACATGAGACGCCCGAACTCAATTGATCAGACAAACCAAACCTCTAAATCTGCTGCTATATAAATATACTAGAACTTGAAACATGAACCTCCCTAAACCCAGTCCTGGAGCGTGCAACTAAAAGTTCTTGGACACCTCGTACGGGTCTGGGCCAAAGGCTTCAGTCACATTGATGCGAAAGACGGGAACGCTCGAGTTGGCAAAGAGATCAAAGGTTGGATGCCCCAAGTACTTGAGTTTACTGTGTCGAAAGGTGCGTTGCTTATGTGCAGACATGCACAAAGGAGGCTGCTTGCTGCCTCGAGCGTCGCCTTCTTGAAACAAGGTGCTTGTAATGGTCTTGCGTGCTTGGCGAAAAATGGGCTTCTTGCTACCCATGGTAACGAGCTGTCCGCGAACCATCAAGCGCCCCAAAATCACATCCGCACCCAGCGGGAGCAGGTGATGCGTAAATGCATCCTCGAGCGCCGCCATCGTCACGTTGTCAAAAATGATGCTCTGATGGCAGAGAGAAAACAGGTCCTGGACAACGTTGTGTGGGAACTGAATCTGCTTGTCACAAAACGCATAGCAGCGACCAAAGTTGAAAATGTTCCAGCGCGGCGGCAGCACGCTCCACATGTTGGCGAAACGCTGTTGCAGGTCCGTCACGTTCAAGCTGTCAATGGCCAAGTCGTCCTCGAAGAAGAAGAGACGCTCGGCACCAGCCGCCAGCCCATTATGTGCGATATCGCGCTTGGTGTGCACGAGGGCCAGCTTCGTGCCCCCGTTGAACTTGCGGTCCATTTCCTTGATGTACCGTGCCTCAATGTCCGTGGCCGACTCACGCGCCTCCGAGCCCAGGTGAACGTCAAAGAGGATGGCGTCGACGTTGATGTGATCGAGGAACTGGCGCATATGCTCACGGCGTTCTTGCAGCGTGGCCACAACAATGCGATCGACGTAGTTGTACAACCAGTTGTGTGGGGCTGGGTGGTCGGCATGGTGAGCGTTTTGGCTCACGTAAAACTCCTCGCGCTCCAGCACAGTGGTGGCAGACGGGGGCAGAGAGGTGACAGCACCGGGCACTGGTGCGTTGTCGATGTGTTTGACGTCGGCCGCAGAAGCGACGAAGATGGCGATGATCAGGGCCAAGGCCAGCGGGCCCAAGCTAGGCAAGCCACCCATCATGGCTACGCTTCCACCCTCAAGCTTCAGCACGCATTGGACAAAATCTTCGCTTGTTGCTCGCGCCGTCTGGAGCGACCAGAATCAAACTGTGAAAGGTCGAGTTCCAGTCAACCCGAAATGCAGGCTCTTTGGAGTCAAATATGGCGTCCAAGGGTTCAGAAAATCAAGAAGGTGCTGTCAGCCGAGCTCGGGTCGCAGCAGCATCTGCCATGTACACGTGTTTGATTTCTTCAAAAAATGCCAAAAAGGTCCTCTTCCACCCAGATCGACAAAAAGAAGTCCTTTCTTTTTCGGAGCTGATAGATCTTGATCAAGCATACATGTCCCGTTCTGGACGATTTTGTTGTTTTCACATTTCATTTTCAGATGACACACAAAGCACATCAGATGTGTGAAGCTTGACATCTACAAAAAATTTTCTTTCACAAAAACAGACACAGAGAGAAAGAGAGACAGACAGAGAGAGACAGAGAGACAGAGAGAGAGAGACAGAGAGAGACAGAGAGAGGGACAGAGAGAGACAGAGAGAGAGAGAGAGAGAGAGAGAGAGAGAGAGAGAGAGAGAGAGAGAGAGAGAGACAGAGACAGAGAGAGAGAGAGACAGACAGACAGAGAGAGAGAGAGAGAGAGACAGACAGACAGACGGAGAAATTTGAATTTCAGTCACATGTGTTCACACTGAACCATCGATGTTGGAGTTTGAGGATCTCCTGGCTCATTCCCTCCTCCCTGCCACGCTGGCGTCGTGTGGGTGGCTTGATCGACACTCGGAAAAGGGGAAAACGTGCTGGCATTACATTAACCATTCCAAAATGTTTATCTTGTTTTTTTTTTTTTAGTGTTGAGGTCATGCAGAGAGGTCACGTTTCAATAAAGCTGTGACACCCTGGACCAAAGGGCTTGTGTGCTCGACGACGCGCTCAGTGACATACAAGCCTTGTCCGACCATCAACAGGTGGCAAAGTCATGCTGCCATGCATTTCAGGAAAAAGTGCTGATTCTTAAGCGATGAACGACAAACCCTCCATTTTGGCAAAACGATGATGTTGTTGGGATATTCCAATGCAAAGTATCAAGGATCACGGAGCGTGCATGAAAGCCAAATCAAGACTCGGCCCTGGCAGACACCAGAGCAGTCAACCCCACAGATCTTTCAATCATCTTTGCTCCAACTGCAGAGCCATTGTCACTGTAATGAGGTCTTCAGACCTCCTTACCTCGGGATTTTATGAGCGACACTCGAGATGGCCACTTGAAACAATAAAATAATGTGTGGCTCAATGCTGGCTCTCGTCGCGAACACAACAATGAGGAACCTCCAGAAGATATGAAACGCCCGAACTCAATTGATCAGACAAACCTCTAAAAATCTAGATTGGAGTATAAACCTGAACCTGCAAGACTTAAACCACGGATGCTCCTTCCTAAGACGATGTTGGGTTCTCAAGCGTGTGACTAAAAGTTCTTGGACACCTCGTACGGGTCTGGGCCAAAGGCTTCAGTCACATTGATGCGAAAGGTGGGTGCGCTGGAGTTGGCAAAGAGATCAAAGGTTGGGTGTCCCAAGTACTTGAGTTTATTGCGGCGAAAGGACCGTTGAGTATTTGCGGTCATGCACACAGGAGGCTCTTTGTTGCCTCGAGCGTCGCCTTCTTGAAACAAGGTGCTTGTAATGGTCTTGCGTGCTTGGTGAAAAATAGGCTTCTTGCTGCCCATGGTAACGAGCTGTCCGCGAACCATCAAGCGCCCCAGAATCACATCCGCACCCAGCGGGAGCAGGTGATGCGTAAATACATCCTCGAGCGCCGCCATCGTCACGTTGTCAAAAATGATGCTCTGATGGCAGAGAGAAAACAGGTCCTGGACAACGTTGTGTGGGAACTGAATCTGCTTGTCACAAAACGCATAGCAGCGACCAAAGTTGAAAATGTTCCAGCGCGGCGGCAGCACGCTCCACATGTTGGCGAAACGCTGTTGCAGGTCCGTCACGTTCAAGCTGTCAATGGCCAAGTCGTCCTCGAAGAAGAAGAGACGCTCGGCACCAGCCGCCAGCCCATTATGTGCGATATCGCGCTTGGTGTGCACGAGGGCCAGCTTCGTGCCCCCGTTGAACTTGCGGTCCATTTCCTTGATGTACCGTGCCTCAATGTCCGTGGCCGACTCACGCGCCTCCGAGCCCAGGTGAACGTCAAAGAGGATGGCGTCGACGTTGATGTGATCGAGGAACTGGCGCATATGCTCACGGCGTTCTTGCAGCGTGGCCACAACAATGCGATCGACGTAGTTGTACAACCAGTTGTGTGGGGCTGGGTGGTCGGCATGGTGAGCGTTTTGGCTCACGTAAAACTCCTCGCGCTCCAGCACAGTGGTGGCAGACGGGGGCAGAGAGGTGACAGCACCGGGCACTGGTGCGTTGTCGATGTGTTTGACGTCGGCCGCAGAAGCGACGAAGACGGCGGTGACCAAGGCCAAGGCCAGCGGGCCCAAGCTAGTCGAGCCACCCATCATGGCTACGCTTCCACCCTCAAGCTTCAGCACGCCTCGGACAGAAGCTTGGCTTGATGTGCGTGCTGTGAGAATGAACGTAGAGTCCCCAGGAGCGAGGGGCAGCCAGAATCGACAAGTGGGGTGTGGCCAGAAGGAGTGCATCAGCCATTGACACAGATCAAAAAGGCTCAGCCACGAAATCTACACGAGTCATCACATGGAACCTGCATGCATGCATGCACTGTTCGAAGGGCTCGTTGGACTCTTGTGTTGGCACAGGCGAAATGTGATGACGCGTCAATGCTTGGCGGTTGCTTGACCCCCCCCATGCTCGGAATAAAGAGGAAAATGCGCTGGCAACGCTGCAGTCACTCCGATACAGTCAAACACACATCCGGATGCTTTATCTTTTGGTGTGTTGGACCTCACTATCATGTGATGGTACATTTGAACCTGAGGGCTGTACGACTCCCCCGGTTACGTCTGAGCCTTGTCAGACCGTGAGCGAGAACCAAAATTATGTTGCCATCCATTTCAGCTGTCATCACGCATTAAAGTTGGAAAGGCGGGACAGCCGTTATCGTGGCGCCTTGTCACGGTGACGCTCAGCGTCCAGATTCGGCGACGGGAAGACAGGTTGAGCTGCGAGCAGGAAGGTTGGAGGTGCACAAAGGTGCACACCAGTGCAGGCACAAAAAATACCCAAGCTAGGTCACAGGGGCTGGAATCGGTAGCAGCATGCGACTCGCGGCTCCTTCCGACAAGTGCACAAAGAGTGTTACCCCGCCGCAGGCGGCCTATATGTTGGCAAGCCATATTCTTGCTGCCGTTTGCGAAATATGCTCAAGGCCTCCTGGTACAACAGCCAGTCGTACATGTCCTCCTCCGCATTCACTTCTTGAAAGTTTGAAGCGTTGTAACTAGCCAGAAGAGAGACGATCAAACCAGCGCGGGACTGCCATGAGCAGGTACTGAGGCTGTGTACTCGTGTGTGCACTGGTGCGAAGACCTACCGATGAAAATTGGTGGTAGGGCGCACGTTTTGGAACTCCACGGGAAAGGTGGTACCGCCAAACATGGCGTGAAAGAGGCAAATGGATTCGTTCCACTCGTCGGTAATGCCAATGAAGGCAGCGCGTTGCAAAATTGAAATTGCTTTGGCCAACGATTGGTTCGTCACGATAAATGGAGCTGCGCAATGATGCCCCAAGAGCATTTTCACCTGCAGCAGTGCAATTGATGTCAAACTTGTCTTGAGGGAAGGCTTCGTTTGAATTCAGAGTCGGCCTCGGAAGACATGCGGGAGGCGACAGACCTGACAGGATGCAATGCCATGAAAAGCTGCAAATTCGTGCACATTGTGTACAGAGCCCAGCATTTCCTGTCGACCTGCGCTGCGCATGCCATGGGCATGCATGTCGTAGTTGTACGCTGTCGGGCAGTCAGAAAGATGGATCAGGTCTGGTACATGCCGCCAGCGCGAAGCCATGGCAAATTTGCACCCGGCATAAGGGGCAACCGGCAGATAACAGACACTGGTCTATGAGTGGCGAGGTCGACATACCCGACCAGATGCGGTGGCGGGGGTCACGGACCATCAGAACCAGATCCTCCCTAAATCAAATGTTGGTTTCAAAAACCAAAAACGAGGTCAGCCCGAGCGAATGAAGTGGGCAGCAGAGTCAGACGTTGGGGACTAGAGGCTTCCGACACAAATTTCAAGGGCAAAAACAAGGGGGCAGAGGGCCAAGGGGACTTGCGCATGGCCAGTGCCGCTTCGCTGGCGAAAGGGCGTGTGGCCGACGCGCGAGCCGATCCATTGCGAAACATTGCAGTATGTGGCAAAGGGATAGCGGCTCTCAAAGACCTGTGGTGGCAGCAGGAGGGCAGGTGTTGAGTCCGCGTCGTTGACATGACTTTTGAGCTCATTGGCGAAGCCAGAGGCCAGTCGATCACACCTGCACGATGGACCCCTTGGTGCCCGGCGGCAGATGAGGCTGTGCGTCTGGTGCATGCAGGCACGCATTCATGAGACGACCAGATCGGGAACAGTCAAAAGGGCAACCGATGCGAGCAGAGTAAAGCCAGTGCAGACCAGGGGGCAGGGCAGGACAGGCATAGTGATATAGGGTGCTTGCCAGACTGGAGCCTAAAAAGGGAAAAGTTTGACGGGGGGGGGGGGCGCGTGGGATATGAGCTGACATGATTGGTGCAGGGGCAGCCGTGAACCGAGACGCGCACCGGCTTTGGGAAAGTGGAGCCAGCGGAACGTATCCAAGCGCCTCGGGACATGGGCAGTCGGTGCAGGTTGATGACATAATTGCTCTGAAGGTCCTGTCGAGGAGACCGGGGAGTACCAGATGCACATCCAGAGGAGCGTTGACAACCCAAACCAAGGCAGTAGCGCCATTTTGGTGGACAGGCGGTTCTCCGTCCACCACAAGCTCGCCAAAAAAAAAAAAAAAAGACTGCCCAGGGCCTGAGTTTTTTGCTCTGGTGTCTGACCAGAGAACAGATCAGAAGACTGCGCGTGGTGGTGCTGGACTGCTTCGCAGACCGAAACGATGCCGCAGAGCCGCAGCGCCACCAAAGTCAGAAAAAAAAAAAAAAAAAAAGTCTCGCACTTCAATGTTAACTACACACCTGTATTATCATATTGTCTGACATTACCTGATCTGACAATCTGGCGTTGAGGAGGAAGTCTGGATTTTCTGTATCAATGAGCGGCCAAAAGTTTATGTCTGCCCATTCAAAAAGCCACCCTCACCGGTTGAAGCGAACAAGCGTCATCGTCACACACTCAGACATTCCCTCACACATTCCCCTTGTCAAGCAAAGCAGTCAAGTAACAAAGTGTGACCGCTGCCACATGTTTATGACGTGGCACCAAGCACCAACACACACACACACACTCACACATCACGTAACGCCTTTGTCTTCTGCGTCTGCGTACGTTCTTGGTGAAGCACTTTACGCTTCTTCACGGTACGGAGCAAAGCATTCGACTTCCTTTTGTGTGTGTGTGTTCAGTGGGCCGGATGAAGATGGCAGCGCGACTCGTGAGATGATGGAGGCGGGGAGGGAGATCAGAGCCACGGGGACGTCGATTGGAGCTTGCTCTCAGCTGGGATCATGGCTTTGACGGTGTTTTACCACACGTGAATGCATGACCAGCACCTGTCATATCACCATGGCCCGAATGGATGGCAGCGGTGGTGCTGGTGTTGATGGTGGTGGTGGCAGCGCGACTGTGCAGTGGCCTGCTCGATCGGGGAACAAACGCAACGTTGCATGAGCCATTTGTCTCATCCATCTCTTTGATTGAACCTGTCTTGCTCCCTTGGATCAACAGATCCCGTCACGATGATGAAGCTTCTTGCTCTTTTGGCTCTTGCCGCCTTCGTGGCGGCTGACGATGTCGTCACTCTCACCAAGAACAACTTTGATGAGACCATCAACGGCAACGACTACGTTCTTGTCGAGTTTTACGCACCCTGGTGTAAGTCTTTTGGTCTGCCCCTGTCCAATTTGCGACCGCCATCGTTCAGCTCCGATTGGCACATCGCTGTCTGTCTGCACCTAGTCATATTGGTAACATCCCTCATGTCTCGCTCCTGATCGCTTTGTACTCATGAATTGTAAACAGGCGGCCACTGCAAGAACCTCGGTGCGTAACAACTTTTCTTTCTCCAGCATTGCGAGGCTGCCGTCGATTTTTCGAGCATAATCTGACCCTTTTCTGCCTCTGGCTTGTCGGCATTTGTGTGCTCGCAGCTCCCCACTTCGCCAAGGCTGCCACCGCCCTCAAGGCTGATGGTGTCGTCCTCGGTGCCGTTGATGCCACCATCGAGAAGGATCTCGCCTCTCAGTTTGGTGTAAGTTGATGACGTTCATTTGTCACCTTGCTTGATCCGCCGTTGTTGTTTTTTTTTCCCCCTTTTTGAGCAGGAGTGTTTTGTACGGTGGCTCAAGCTTTTTTGATTCATCTTTTTTTACCCAACACAGGTTCGTGGCTACCCCACTCTGAAGCTCTTCAAGAACGGCAAGGCCACCGAGTACAAGGGCGGCCGCACGGAGGACACGATTGTCAGCTACATCCGCAAGGCCACCGGCCCCCCGGCCAAGACCCTCGAAACGGCTGCTGATGTGGCCAGCTTCATTGACAGCGCCAAGGTTGTCGTCGTTGGCTACTTCACTGAGCTTGCCGGTGCCGAGTACGATGCCTTTATTGCTGCTGCCAGCGCTGATGAGGACAACGCCTTTGGTGTGACCACCGACGCTGCTGCCGCCTCGGCCGCGGGTGTCTCAGGCCCTGCCATTGTTCTGCACAAGAAGTTTGACGAGGGCAAGAACGTCTTTGACGGTGCCTACGAGGCCAGCAGCATTGCCACCTTTGTGGCTGCCAACCGCATGCCTCTCATCATTCCCTTCACCATGGACGTCGCTGGCGATATCTTCCAGTCCCCCATTGGCAAGGTGGCCTTCCTCTTCACTGATGATGCCGCCCCTGAGTTCTTCAACGAGATTGCCAACGAGTACAAGGGCAAGTACATCTTCTCAACTGCCCCCTCCTCCGAGTCGCGCCTGACCGATTACCTTGGTGTCAAGAAGGGTGACTTCCCCGTCTTTTTCATTGTCGAGACTGGCGGCAGCATGAAGAAGTTCCCCATGGATGGTGAGGTCACGGCTGATGCCGTCAAGGCCCACCTTTCTGCTCATGCCTCAGGCTCCATCAAGCCCTCTTTCAAGTCGGACCCCGTTCCTGCTTCCAACGACGGTCCCCTGTACACGGTTGTGGGCAAGAACTTTGAGGATCTGGTTCTCGACCCCACCAAGAACGTCCTGCTCGAGGTCTATGCTCCCTGGTGCGGCCACTGCAAGAAGCTCCAGCCCACTCTTGATAAGCTGGCCGAGCACTACAAGGACAGCGGTGACATTGTCATTGCCCAGATGGACGGTACCTCCAACGAGGTTGACGGCCTGTCCGTCCGTGGCTTCCCCACCATCCGCTTCTACCCCAAGAACTCGCGCAGCAACGCTGGTGAGGAGTACAAGGGCGGTCGCGAGTTTGCTGACTTCACTGCCTTCCTTGACAGCAAGGCCACTGGTGCCAAGCACGAGGAGCTCTAAGTCATTTGCTTTTGACGGCGCATCTTCTGTCACATTTCTTTTTTGTTATGTGATGTGTTGACGTGCACACGCACGCCTTCCCCCTCCACCAGAATTGGTGGCTTTTCATTTCTGTTGCATTTTTTTCTCCTTCAGTTTTTTTTTTTTTTTTTGGTTTTCCAACCATGAACTAGGTGCGAAATCAATGAAAATCGATTCACCAACCATCTCTTTGATCCTGTCATGAAACAAAGAATGTCCAGCCCATCTCAGTTTCGGTACATCGCAGCACGGGCTTGCTTTGGGCACGAATGGGGCTATGCTTGAGCATGGCGTTCACGGCGGAGGCGTTCGACCAAAGCCACCAGTTGTGGCCACAACGTAGGGCCATCGTGACCCGCTTCAACTTGAAGCCGTGTCGCATGGAATGATTCCAGCTCGGCTACAGCGGTAGGCTTGGCAAAGACGAGCAAGTTGTGACGATGATTCACGTTGCGCGCGTCACACATTTGGCGCAGCTGCACGCATATCGTACACAAACGGGGACACCCGCCAGCCAGGAGAAGAACCGGAATCAAAAACAAAAGGGGCCATCAACAGCAAAGAGTCACTTGAGAAGCCGGGCAGCGAGGCCGAGAAGTGCACGGGTGCCTCGTCGCGAACATGCAGAAAAAAGCGCGCAAACAGAAAAACCTACCATGTCAGAGAGGGCAGGCATGTGTACGAGCCCCGCGGCCTCCCAGGTTGCAACCCAGTCATCCTAGCCATGAGCACGGGGAACCGGGGAACAATGCGGCGAGCATGAGGCGACGGTGGCAATGTCAAGCGCATGTGCGGCTGGAAAATACTCGAGGGCCAAACTGGCATACGCGGGTGCGCAGGGCAATGTGGCCCACGCCTTCTTGGTTGGGACGGGCTGCCCCAAACACGAGAACGCGTCCGACGCGGGGAGCCAGCCATTTTGTGACCATCGGATGAAACTCGAGCGGTATATGTTCCAGCACCTGGGTCCAGAAGCAAAGCCAAGCCCAAGACAACATCAGAATGAGGCATTGCTAAGCGAAACACAGACTTTTTATTGTTTTGCCTCTCTCCCTGTAAGCACGGAGGTAAAAACCGAACAAACTTCGACGCTGTAGACGAGATCAAAAGGAGCAGCCAGTGCGTTCTCAAGTGTATCGGGTATTGTGCCCTGTGTGCCACCAGCGCATTCGGGTGAGCTGGATCGTAGTCGTGGGAACACAATAGTGCAGAACAATAAGCGTGGTTGGCGGGGTGACACACTGGTTGGAGAACATTGATGGCTAGTTGGGCTGGCCGGGCGACGGGATCATTGACAGAGGCAAAGACAGAGCCCTCAAAGAGCATCTCTTCGGGCTCAATGCCATAGACAGGGCTGGCGTTTGTGAATCTATCGGATGCAAGGTGATCAGCAATCGCAACGCATTGCAATAGTCGAATGATCAAAGTTGTCTGTCGCCTCGCTGTCCATGGTCGCAAGAGAAGCATGCCGCGCAGGAAGAGCGATAACCAAACCGTGCGAGATAGTCGACATAAAGGCCCAGGCCGCAGCCAAATTCGAGCACGGTGGCAGGCTCGAGCAGGCGCAGGAAAGTGGCCAGCCCCACGTCAAAGTTGATTCCGTATCTGCTGGCACGAAACCAGTCGAGGGTCAGGTCAAAGTTTGAGACAGGATGGGATGGGTCAAAGTTGCCGTTGCACCGAGCGGATCTGAACCACTTGCTTGATCAGATGCGTTTCAAAGGTCCACTCATTGCCGTCCGACCCCTGCAGCGGCACGGGATTAGCGGCGCTCAGCGCCAGCAGGACGACAAGGCCGGCCGTCAGGGTTTGGGCGGCGGCTGCCATGTCCAGGTATCTCGGGACGATGTTGAGAGCAGGTCTTCCAGTGGCGCTGTGCACGCGCTGCAGCGCTGGTGCCTGGCTGGCCCCGTTGACGTGGCCCGAAGCAGAGTCTTGAGCGAGTGCCGTCTATCCCAACACTATCAGGCCAACGACGAAATTGGCAAGAGCGAGCACGCATGCATTTCCACAGTGCTGACAACCATTTTATGCTGACAACATAGACTGAGAGACTGACGCGGGGAGACAGAGAGACAAGATGGGCCGGGGACCGCCTTTGCAACCCTTCACTGATCGAACGAAGCCAGCACGATGTGATGCTGATGATTATTATACTCCCGCCGCGTGCAGGGGGTGGGGCTGCCATGGGCATAATGTTACGTGTATTATTATTCATAACAATGTGTCATTAACATTAATATTATTTTATCGACATATCATGCAGAGCGGAGAGGAGTACTGGCACGTTGCTCGGACGGCAGGAGCGCACAAACGGCACTTGACCAATTATTGATCAAGCGTGGACTGGAATAGGAATCGTGTCAACCCTTGGACTTTACAGGTCAACCCATCATCACTGTGCAACAGGCCTCCTCCTGTTACTCATATCCATTTCAACTGGTTGGTGCTAAGAAGAAAGCAGGCCGGCGCAGGTCAGGCGCACTCTCTTTGGCTTGCTGTGCCCCCTGGCCAGTTGGTGGGAACGGGCGTGACACGGTTTGATGGGGCACGCATGGGTGAGGTGGTCGGTTGGCAGTCTGCCCTCCTCTTTTGTCACTGCTGGCACTGTTTTGTGATGCTTTTTGTCTCGAGGAGCCCCAAACGCCTGATTGAGCGAATGTGAGACGCCTGGTGCCCAAAAAATTTGAATTAACTGTAAAAAATTTGGCAAGCATGGATGGCCAGCGCTCATGGCCATTGACGGTACACTGGCTCGATGGCGCCGACGGTTTGATTCACCCAATGTGCTGTCTCTCAGTCCGTGTCCCTTTCGATTGAATTTTGTCATTTCAGTTGGCGCGTGCCAGTTGTAGTGTGACTGAAGCTACATTATGGATGTAGATCCCACTTGCAGACGGTCCTACTCATCGGGCAACTGCCACTTCTCTGCTACTGCTACACACGTATCGTGACAGCGCCGCACGTAGCTGGTGTACCGACCTGAAAGGGCCGTTCCAGCATACCATGGTGCCAACGTCGTCGCCCACACAGCATTCTTCTGAATTTAATTGGTTCGCTGCGTGGACTCGACCCACACCTGCACACACCTGCACACACCTGCACACACCTGCATAACGCACTCGTGGCGCCCACCCACTTGGCAACGTCGTCGCCACGCGTCACTCGCAAAAAAAAAGCCCATGCGCCACCGATTGCAGGACTGGCGACTACATCACACTTTTTTTTTACAATGTTATGGAGTCATTCACATTCACATGTCAAGAAAAGAAGAGCAGCAGGAGGAGGCAATTGTGCCTTGTGCCTTGGGGGATCTAAACGCCCAATCAAAGCATCACCTTTCGGTTACATGTCCCTGCTCGCCATGTTTGTTTAGGGCAGGAGACCCATGATATGCCCACAAAAGCTAGCTTGTCGTTACCATCCACAAACCTACGCTTCCGTATACACTCAGGACATTAAGTCTTTATCGTTATTTCGGCTTGGCCGCTGCCAAGGTATGATTCAAGCCCACCCATCCACCAGGTTGGATGCGCATAGATTCCTCTATTTCTGTCTGATGTGTGTGTGTGTGTGTACATGAATGTGTGTGTGTGTATCACTTCTCTGCCTGCCTCTGCGTGCCGACTGCCTGTCAAGCTGCTCCTCCTTCTCCTCCTTCTCCTCCTCCTTCTCCTCCTCCTCTCTTTTGCTTCTGTCCCTCTCTCCCCTCCTCCTTCTCCTCCTCCTCCCTACTCCTTCTACCAAATAATATGGCTGTCTTTCCCATCCCATGGTTGACTATGCAATGCAGAGGCGTTTCGCTACTGTCAAATCCTGGCGCAATGGCAGCGGCGCAAGTGGGTTCGACCAGTAGGAGCTGAAGAGCTAGGCACAGCACACACACTCACACACACGCACTCTCTCTCATTCTCACACACACACACCTCTTAACGAGGGCATGACACACCACAAAGCGCACATGGTGACAAAAAAAAAAGTGTGCAGGGCGACCGAGTTAACACATTCACGCAGTCATGTGATGGCATTTTCTTCCACCGGAGCCTTGTCGCTCCTCCTCTTACACACTTAGCATCCTCTTGTCGCCACTGCACCATCGTCCTGTGGTAAGTGCACACACTCTACTCTCTTTTTGCTTGCATCTGTTTGGCGACCGGGCGCCGCCATGTGGATGTGAGCCGTGTGTGTTGCCCTGGTCCCGCCACCTCGTCGATGCCATAACCAACGGCGGGTGCTGCGTTTGGATCGATCCACACCCCTCACCCTCACATTCAGTTTAATTTCGTCGTGGTATATCATCTGATCCTTGCCACTCAATCTCTCTCAACGTGCGCTCCGACCTTTCCCGAACCTACCTTTCCCCATCCCCCCATCCTCCCACCCATGGTGTTGTCCCTTGCTTTTTTTTTTTTGTTTCTTTTACTTCTTGATGCACCCGCCCCTGTACTGTGCACTGTGCACACGCGTCGCTTGTTCTCTTTTCAGCACCATCCCGATCCTCTGGCACAACACCACACGACTCTCTCCCTCTTTCGATGAATCTCTCTCTCTCTTCATTTTTCTTTTTTTTTCTTTCTTACGTTGTTGTCTCATGGTTCTCTCATCACTGCGTTTCGTCCCCTCTTCAATGATTGGAGCAGTGACACTTCATTCCCGGATCCCACAAGTGTGTGTCATTTTCTCCCAGTCAGACTCCTCCTTAGCACCGAGACCGCAGCCGACACACTCTTGACGGTGTGGCGCTCCTTGGACCCTGCCGCCCGGCCACGCTGTTGTGTTCAAGGCGATCTTTGCTTCGGACAAACGCACACTCGTACACGCACATACGCACTGCCCTGGCAGCCGCATCGGACACCAATACCCCTCCCTCCTGCCATCAAGTTCAAGTCGTTGTGGGTGCTTGTAAGTAACAACGACGAGACGTGGTTGCACGTCTTGACCCCCA